ATTCCTATTATATAGATTAACTAGGTCGGTTGTGAACATTGGCTGTTCTTATGTCATTGAGTACTTGTGGTGTACATGAGTTCTGTAGAGAGAAATTTAAGTTAGTTTAGTCCTTCTCATGTCCTTCTTCAGTTCTCGTGAATATGATATATTGCTCAGTGAAATATTGTTGTTTAAATAGTTCCATTCCCGGAGTTATTTTACACTCTTTTATGAAATCCATTAAAACACCAAACCGCCCCGCTTATCATTGAAGTACACTTTGACTTCTAGAAGTATGAGTTCGCGGACTGTACAATTCTTGGTGATTTTGCGTAAATAAGCTATCTATGTTTATTTATTTATCTATGAGGGTGTCCCACGAAACATTTACGGTAGTAGGACGACTTTAATGTCGTCTTTCATCTTTGAAACAATTTGCGGCCTTTGTTGGTAAACCTAATATAAAAATAAAATGTTAAAGTTAATATTCACCAAATACCCCTAGTCCTGGCCTTTCCAAAATGAGGTCTGACAAGAGATAGACGAGCAGGGGAAGGCACATCACATTCACAACATGTTTTCGTCCACACCACAAATGACATCACAACTCATCATTTTTTTCGTCCGAGTGTTGCTTCTGGGTTTTCAATGTTTCATGTTATGCCTTTTAGCACTTTTTTTAATTTCAACGTCATGTAACCCCCTTTCATTTTTCGCGAACATTCCCTTTAACCCAATGTCGTAGACCTTATATATTTCAAACTATGATTTCTGTTATATCAAATAGTCTAAGGTTGAAATATCAAAAGTTTACACAATCAGGTTGCAAAGATATAGGGATTAGAAACTTTGAGTATGTGACAAAGACTCAATTCCTTTAAATCATACTAAAACAATTTTCTTTTGCCATAATTTTAGTTTATGACTAAAAAAAATAATCACCATTTGATGTTTAGAAACAGAAAAATATTCAATTAGATTTGAATGAATGCAAACGTGCGGAAAACTGATAACCAATTGTTTGAATTTCAAAAATATTTTTGAGGAAATTTCCAGTAAATGTAACTTTTAAGCGACCATGAATATTGTATTGATAGATTTCCCTTCCCTGATATTTCATATTGTTTAACCTTTAACGTCTATACATTGCATGTTGTAGAAATTGTATTATTTTTGTAACATTAAATTCATTTAACATCAAATTCATAATTGCATATATACTTTTCAATAAAACTCAAAGATTTACGTTACTTATGATCTTATGATCTTCATGATCTTTTTATTGGTCCACTTCATGATCTTTTTATTGATCTACTTCATGATCTTTTTATTAATCCACTTCATGATCTTTTTATTGATCCATTTCATGATCTTTTGGGCATAAGTCATAATAAAAGCCTAAGGTCACTTTCCTGTTATGCATAGATTCTTTAAATCCGTAAATTTTTTTATCCGTCTTTAAGATTTTAATATTGTAATAATAAAATGGCAATCTTTGACTGAAAAAATATAGTTTTGCAGGGTTGAACATTAAAATGTAATTCATTATTTAAAATTTGGCCTCAAAGATTCTTTTCGGAATACATGGCCAGCATCTCAAGATATTATAAAAAGTATAAAAAGAGAATGAGAGAGGATTGAATGCCAGAAATCTGTAATGGTTCTGAGAGTTATCTATAAGTTATGTGACATCGACTAGCATTTTAAGAAAACATTTTTTGTTCGACTTATTATTTTAAAAGTTAGATAAAATGTAGCTTTTGTAAATCTGTATTTTGTTACGATTTAAAATAATCCAACATGAAACGCAGCAGCTGTGCACATAGGACTTATTTCAAATAAAAAGTTAATTTCCCTGCAACTGGTAAAATTATTTTCTTTATAATAAAAAGTTTCATATTACTAGTCACTTTATTATAAGGACTGTAGTAGTAATTTCAAGTAACTCTTCATTTCCATTTACAAATATGCCCTATTCACAGTGGTACCATTAAACCCTGTATATGATGAATAATGCCCTATGCATAATGGTAGCATTAAACCCTGTATATGATGAATAATGTGGAAAATATCGTTCTTCTCAGTTTTTAACTGTTTAAATCTGATAATTCCTTTATGCTTTCCTGTTGTAGAAATCCACAATCTAGTGGAGAAGCCACAATTGAAAATAATCTGTTTTTAAAATCATAAACATTGATATCTAATTAATACTTGATCAGACAAAGCTTGGGTATCATTGTGAATCGGGCAATGCCATTTATTTCTAACAACAGATAGGGGAAATAAGTTCTTGCCGTCATTTGACAATTTTATTTCCATCAAGTACCGGTGCGACTTTAGAGTATATAGCTAGAGCAGTACACATACAGACTATATATTGTTGTGATATTTACCATAAATGTCACAAAAAAAATTTGGGCCCGATCGGTTCAGCCGTTTTGACGTTTATTGGATACAAACAAATAGACACCCAGACAAACAGACAGACAAGCCAAATTTGTATATAGATATATAAATATTATATATAATATATGACATCACTCTTCCATCTATAATCAGTGATGTCATATGAGGATTTAATTTATCTATGCTTTGGAGACGACATTGGAGCGCATCGAGAGTTAGCAACCTTATCATACAACCTCTGTTCACTCTGACTTATCCGACTTTATCCAGTTCCAAGCGGAATATGAATTCAGAAATGAGACAGTTAGTTTAGATTGCAAAGTAAGAAATATTTCAAGAGAGGAATTATAAAAGCTGAATCATGAACCCAACATTCATTAGATGTCGCAGAAAATGTAGGGTCAGACACAATTCAAAATGATAAGAATTTTAAGTGGTTTTGCGCCCATGGATATATCGTCTCCAGTTATTTTCCTAATTTCGAGAATTATACACAATTTGGTTGTGTTCTAATTTTCAAACTTAATTCAATTTAAATTAGTAAAAAAAGTGTTAAAATGAGAAGAGAATAGTTATTCGGTAATTATATTTGTTCTCAATAGCTCTTCAGTACGAGGAGCTATACTAATTATAAATAAATTTCAATCTTTCTTGTAGTTTACATTTATATTTTTACCCCAATACTATTTTCATTTTCGGATTCGTTTTGCTTTTTGAGAAGAAAATTACATTGTCAAACTTCATGTTTCAAAGTATAACCTGAATTAGTTCTTATCTTACTTAAGATTGAGTCAAGCCTCTGATCGAATGAGTTAGTGCAAAGATGAGTAAACCTGTTTAAAATACAAAAATAGAAATTAAACTGCCTGGGGTTTGCAGAATAATAACTAAACAGGAACGAAATTACTGATAATAAAAAAGAAAAGAAAAAATGAGATCACAGTTTACAAAATGCAGGATCCAGAGCTAAAAACCTCTTGTAATGTGGATTTCGAGATCAATGATTGATGTCCACTTTTTATTATACTGAAGATTAATCTAACCTTTATTTGATATCCAGAATAGTGTCTAAAATTCAACCAATCAGAATGTCGTTTGCAGAAACCGAACAGCCAATAAGAAACCGGGAAATTTCGCGCGCAATAAATGAGATATCTCCTATTTGTCCGAACCTATCAGGAATATAGTGTAAATATATAGTGTATCCAGAATACAGGGTATACTATCCATAATACAGGGCATACTATCCAGAATATAGGGTATAGTATCCATAATACAGGGTATAGTATCCAGAATACAGGGTATAGTATCCAGAATACAGGGTATAGTATCCATAATACAGGGTATAGTATCCAGAATACAGGGTATAGTATCCAGAATACAGGGTATAGTATCCAGAATACAGGGTATAGTATCCAGAATACAGGGTATAGTATCAAGAATACAGTGTATTGTATCCAGAATACAGGGTATAGTATCCAGAATACAGGGTATACTATCCAGAATACATGGTATAGTATCACTACTGCGGGAGTTCTAAACTGTAGTGAGTACTGCAGTATATAATATATATATATTACACCGAGACCTCTCTCCTTTAGTTTTCTAGTATTGTTCAGTCTACCATCTACACCCGTAGCGTAAACACACTAACAAACCTCTATCAAACATAAACACAAATATTATAATTGAATTCAATTACCCATATCTTTTAATTCATTTAAAATCCAATTCAATAATTCTAGAAAATAATTTAAACAATAAAACCTTTTTTTTCAATTTTCCTCAATCTTCATTTAAACGTGAAACAGCAATGACTGAAAAAAAACTAAAAAAAATGGGGTCTGCATAAAAATGTATTGTGTACAATAAACATATTAAATTTCTTCACATTATTGTAAAGATCTTAATATATAATTGTAAGAAAGTATAATGTATGATTGTACATATACGTACCAGAGTTTACATGTACATCGTTTATGTACATTGTACACGCATCATGCATCATGTACATCGCTTATGTACATATAAGTTTATTATCATGTATTCATGTTAATGTATATCAATATAAGGTTAAGTTTTGAACAAAAGTGAACAACAATGTATAGAATGCAAATACAGTTCAATTGTTTCCTAATGCACCTCTTGGAAACCTTGGAATAAACCTATATCAATACATATGTATAATTTTCAGAAAATGATCGGAGAGGTTTAGAGGTTTGAAACAAGAGGTTTAGAAATTTAGAAAGAGTTGTTTAAAGGCTTAAGAAATGGAGAAACTGAATATGGAAACACTGCAGGAAAAGAACCAGACATTTATTAAAAATTAGAAATTATGTTCTTTCATTTTTCTTCTTTCTTTTCTTTCCTTAATTGTTTTCTCATCTTTCTTTTCTCTCATTTCTTTTCTCTTCTTATTTTCCTCTTCTTTTCCTTTTTAAAATATGATTTGAAAACTTTCGTATTTTTAATTCATTCTTATTTAAATTTTTTTCTGTGACTTTTTAATAAGTCACCTTTTTCCTTTTTTAAATCAAGTAGATAATTCATCAACCAATTCTTTGTTGGTTTTTAATCTGAGTCTTTAAATTTCTCCAGAGCAATGCAATTGTGATAGAAAACGCTTACAAGGTAATCTATAAGAGACCCCGGTGAGGGGGGGGGGGGTGTTAAAAACCAACATTAGATGGTTTAGTGCACGGTGATTCAGATGTCCTGGTTTGGAAATTAGTGAGCATTTACTTTTCAGTCCATTCATTGTAGATTTAGCTAATTTTTCTTTTTTCTTTTTTGTTATTGTAGGATGCAGGCTGCAGGGGGGGGGGGGGGAATCATGTTGCCCTGTCATACCTAGCCATAGTTAGTTTTGCTAGAGAGAAAATTGTTTCTTATGTACGTGCAGATTCTTTTTAGCAACAAATATGAATGCAAAATAAATAATGATAGATTTGCGCAGTTTTTATATTAATTCATTATTAACCATTGAGTGGTCTGGTAAATAGTTAATTATGCTTAATTAGTATGAAAGGCAGTTTTTCAACTTCAAATGAAAGTGTCAGGGGCTAAACCAGGGTTTCTGATTTCATGTATAGATAGTGCACAAATACGGTCACCCGATCCCCCTGCCCTGGGCCCCTGGTGGCCCTGGTACTAATAGGCCTAATTGTGATACACGGTCTTTTTAAAGTTCTTTCTCCTATTTTTAATAAAAACAAAATTATGATGAAAGCTTTGAGGTTGTCATTTATATTACTAAAATTACACCAAGAATTGCATTTTTTATTTGATTTATTTTCTTTTTATCAAATTTTGCTGTTTCCTCATACTTATCTTCGTACTTATCGACCAGTTTTCTTCTTAAATATTCATGGTTTCAACATTTTTCATTTTCTAAATGTGAGAGAAAGTTAGATTGCATGTTTTCTTCGGGTTGGAAGAAAGCAGAGACTTTGGGATTGTGTCATGAACCAAGGAGAGTTTAAGAAGGATTGTATCATGAACCAAGGAAAGTTTAAGAAGGATTGTATCATGAACCAAGGCGAGTTTAGGAAGGATTGTAGCATAAACCAAGGAGAGTTTAAGAAGGATTGTATCATGAACCAAGGAGAGTTTAAGAAGGATTGTATCATAAACCAAGGATTGTATCAGGAACCAAGGAGAGTTTAAGAAGGATTGTATCATGAACCAAGGAGAGTTTAAGAAGGATTGTATCATGAGCCAAGAAGAGTTTAGGATAGATTGTATCATGAACCAAGGAGAGTTTAGGAAGGATTGTGTCATGAACCAATGAGAATTTGTAAAGGATGGTCATTTAAGGAGTTTATTTTAGTCTTACCAGAGTGGGAAGAAGTCCAATCCTATATTTACGAATCTCAACCTGACAGTCCAGAAAGGAAAGATTTATGGACTTTTGGGACCTTCAGGTAAAAAGGTTTTTCATGGGATAATTAATAAGGTTTTAAAGATGAAAAATTAATTTATAATATTTTGGAGATTATTTCTGAGAATCTAACTTTTCTTATTTTCATTACATTCAAAAGTTCATGTGCAACGGAATTGAGTCTTTTCCACAAACTCTGATTTTCTAATCCCTATATCTTTGCGACCCAATGTCGTAGACCTTAGATATTTTAAACTATGAATTCTTTTTTCCAAATAATCTTAGTTTGAAATATCTAAAGTTTACACCATCAGGTTGAGAAGATATAGGGATTAGCAAGTTTAAGTTTGAAATAACATTAGAAGTTGTTGAAGTTTAAAGAAATTCAGATTTTGCAGTTTTAAGAATGTTGCTTGATTTTAATTTCCAGAACTACCTTGGTCCTTGAGTTAATGTATACTATACTGCCGCATTCCGAAAAGTAGGCTTTCATATACATAGAAACACGACAAAAGGAAGATCAATAATCAGTAAGCCTTCACTTTCGAACCCATTGTCTTCGATTTTTGTATTTTTTATATAAATACAGTTTTTTTTCTAAAATTAGTAAAATGGTCAGATCTATCCAAGTAATATTAGATGTCCCTTAAGTCTCCTTGCAATGATCAAAGCCCCTCAGTAAAAGATATAACTTAATAATTATATTTTGTTCACAATATTTGTATTCAGGATGTGGAAAGACGACCTTATTAAAATGTATGGTTGGAAAGCTGAGGCTTGACGCTGGAAAGGTAAACGCGGCAAAACCTAAAATCAAATTTTTTCTTGTAAAAAACAATCTGTAAACAATGTACATATTTTTTTCTCTCAGTGTATTAATGTAAAAATCAGGGATATTGCGTTCAAAAAATTCATCGTAAATTTTTTTTAGCTCCGAAAAAACCCCCTTAGCGTTGTCTATTACGGAGTTATGAATTCTAACGGTTTTAAGTAAGCTCGATCATTGACTATTTTGATCGTATTTTTTGGCTCGGATAGCATAAGATTATAGAACCGATCATGAAATAATAATAGGTTTCTAGATTCTTCCTTTCTTTAATGTCATCATGTTAGTTTTTAGAAATATCTCTTTACTTCAAATCACGCAAATCTAATTTCTAAGTAACACTGTTGTTTATAACTAACAGTTATAGCTAACAATTTGCCTTGCTATAGAAATATAAATCATAATTCTCATTATTTCAAATCTATATATAATACGTGGTTGGATTTTGAAAACTAAATTTCACAGAAAAATCATATATTTTTGCCATGAAAAAACAAACTGAGATAAAACATACGGAAGGCACGTCAAACTAAAGTAAATTCCACGTTAGATTGAAATATTACATGTTGTCACGTGATACAGACGGAAATCAAGTGACCAGTATACTGCACTGCCATTGGCTGAAGTTCTGTGACGTAATACGGACTATACGAACTATATATAATAATATTATCAATTATATCTATTAAAAATGCAAAATAAAAAAATTATAAAGGCTCCTGTGGGAGATTGTCGTTTTCAGATTGGTTGCGTATTTGTTGAATATGATCTGTTTAATACTAAAACTTATATACAAAATTGCATATATATATGAATTTTTGTATAAATATAACACAGTTTTATATTAATTTCTCGAGACAGGAACAACTGCAGAAAGATGTCTTATATGCATCGTTCAAAGCCTGAGATTCTCAGGATTCATCCTATACCCCCTTTCATTTTCCTTTACAGTCCCTTTAAAGGGACTGTAAAGGAAAAATGAAAGTGGGTATAGGCTGAAAGCTAATCACTTTAGCTCTTGATCGTGACCCATGAAAGTTTTATCTGATGTTCCTGTCTCGAGAAATTGATATAAAACTGTGTTAAAATTATACGAAAGTTCATATATGTAAAATTTAGAAAATCTTAAACTTAAATCATGTGACCAGAACTTTCACCAATGGCAGAGCAGCATACTGGTCACGTGTCTCCGCCTGTATCACGGACCACTTTACTGCACTGCCATTGGAGGAATTTCTGGTCAAGCAATACGGACGTATAAATAATATTATGAATTAAATCTATAAAAAATAGAAATAACAAATATAAAATTAGAATTGGAGTAAACCTAAGTTACAATTAGCTTTCTCTGGGATATCATCGTTTTCAGATGAGTTGCATATTTGCTGAATTTGATCTTTTTAAACCCACTACTTTTATACAAAATTGTATATATATTAATTTTCGTATAAATTTGACAAAGTTGTAACTCAATTTCTCGAGATAGGAACATCAGATATAACTTTCATGGGTCGCGATCGAAAGCTAGAGTGATTAGCTTTCAGCCTATACCCCCTTTCATTTTTCCTTTACAGTCCCTTTAAAGAGTTTTAAAAGAACAAAAATATCTTGAATTTCTGGTAAATGTAACTGGATAAATTGTAAAATAAAAACTACAGCAACGTCACAAAGTTTGGCCAGTAATAATGCAGCATAAATTTGTCCATATTCATCTAGTTTACAGTGAAGGGAGGTGGGACAATCATTTTGAAGGAGAGGGAATGATTTCTGAAGAAAATTTCTACCCTTTCAACATTGTTTGTATTTCGTGATGTAAATAATTTCATTAAGTATGAAGGGGGCATGTTAAGCTGAACATACTTTTAAAACTTTTATTTTGTTTAGCTTTTAAATATCATGAATTTTTTTTTTCAAATCAAGGTTTTGCACATACAGCTTATTGCAATGAGGAATAATAACAGCTGGCTTTTTAAATTTCTACAGAAGTATCTATAAATATAATTACTGTTTTTTTTAAACATTTGTTCAAATATTCACTATCTATCTACCAGCATAAGTTTAACCTATTTTCTAAACTATAAATTGTTGCCGACTTTCAAATTTTTAAAAATTTATTTTCTTAAAGGGAGTGCCGACATATTTTCTTAAAGGGACTGCCGATATATTTTCTTAAAGGGACTGCCGACATATTTTTTTAAGGAACTGTCGACATATTTTCTTAAAGGGACTGTCGACATATTTTCTAAAAGGGACTGTCGACATATTTTCTTAAAGGGACTGTCGACATATTTTCTTGAAGGGACTGTCGACATATTTTCTTAAAGGGACTTTCGACATATTTTCTTAAAGGGACTGTCGACATATTTTCTTAAAGGGAGTGCCGACATATTTTTTTAAAGGGACTGTCGACATATTTTCTTAAATGGACTGTCGACATATTTTCTTAAAGGGACTGTCGACATATTTTCTTAAGGTACTGTCGACATATTTTCGAGTAATCCTTCCATGTTAAGAATTACATGTTTGATTCACAACGGTACCATCTGAGAAGGAAGGCAATGTCGTTTTTCTCGTTTTAAAAGAGATAAATTCTGTTATTTTTTCTTTCTGCTGCAAAGCCCACAAGTTATGAATTTTTAGATGGATAAAAAAGGATATCTCCATCAAATTTCCTAAAAAAAAAGGTTTAATGTACAGAAATTTTGCCAATATAATGGTTTAAATAAATTGAGTCTTTGCCGCAAACTCTAATTTTCGAATCCCTATATCTTTGCATTCCAATGTGGATATTTTATAAATATGTCAATTATAAAATAATGTTTGTTTGTTTAGGTTCGAGTGTTTGGTTCAGCTCCTGGTGACCGGAATACAGGTGTACCTGGAGCTAGGGTTGGATATATGCCACAGGAACTAGCTCTCTTCGGAGAGTTTAATATAGGTAGTTCTTAGAATTATGCTTTCATTAATTTCATCAGTGCTGAGATTTTAAAAATAATGTGAATCACTTCTCCTGTATTTTAAAATGTGCTGCGTAAAGGTTAAAAAAGAACACCTCATGATCTTTTATTTAATTTTACTACACTTTTGAAAATTCTTAAATACACCCTTAACAACCAACAACTATGTATATTTGTGTGTTTGTTTGTATCCAAAAAGTGTTTAAACAACGAAACCGATCGGTCCAAATTTTTGTGGTATCTCTCATGAAAAAGAAAGATTCCACAGAAGGTTTAAGATCGGTCGAAATAGAACAATGTAGCTGAGAAAATTTTTATATTTTTAATTTTTTTTTTGAAATTTATTAAAAAAATAGAAAACTCGCAAAATGTTTAGTTTTCCAGTGTATAAATGGATGGCGGCTTGAGACCAATATTTATGATTTAAAAACTAATATTGTTACTAGAAAACGAGTATCACAAAACTCTCTGAAAGCCGAGTATACATTTTATACTATGTGAAGAATCAGTAATGGCCACCTTTTCGTATAAAATATATATTGTCCAACCAACCTGTTAACTAGCTGCAGTGCAAACCTTCACCACCGTGAAACCACAAACTAAATTTCTCTACGCGAATATTAACACTGAGTAGGGTGTCTTACTTTTCAAACCATTTCTCAGTCTTGATTTAGTGAGTTTATCTTAAGATTGATTGACTGATTGATTGATTGATTGGCCCTTTCTTAAGCAGGAAAGCGCGAATTGAATTAAGGAAAAGCCTCAGATGAAAAAATCAAAAAGAGAGAAGGATCGATCGTTGGTTATCAAAAAAAGCTTTTTAGGTTACCTTGTAAATCTGACATGCCGCTCATGTAAATAGAGAGTGTTTAATTCTATGTCTACAATCCCTTTAAGCTTCACATTATTTATATTTGGATGCAACCAGTTTTATTAAATTTGTTCTAAACGAAATAAGTCCAGTTTTTCAAAATTCTGAAATGCTTGGAATTTTTCAAATAGATTGAATTTTTTTCTCTTATGTGTAAAGTATATTAAATCCATGATTAAAGGATCCTAGAAAATTTCATAAGATGTAAACAGAGATTAAATAAATTGACGTAGTTTATACATTTTTGAAAATCTATGTAAAAAAGCAGATAAAGGAACTGAGCTTTTGCCACAAACTCAAGTTTCAAATCCCTATATCTTTGCAACACGATGTTGTGAAGCTTTCATATTTCAAATTATGAATTCCGTTATATCAAATAATCTTAGTTTGAAATTACAAAGGTTTACATCATCAGATTAGAAAGATGTAAGGTTAATAAAATATTACTCAAAAACTCAATTCCTTTAAAAGTTGAAAGACTTCTCAGTTTGACATATGAAACACCTTCAATTATACATTTTAGAATCTCGTGTATCACTATATAGGGATTAGGGGTAGATATTTTTGGAAGCCTTTCATTAACCCCCTCACTTAAATCGTGTATCCGCCCCTGCCTGAAAAATAGCATTTAATCAAAAAGCATTTTTACACTGAAAACTCCGTTCATTTGAAGTACCGAACCAACTTTTAGGCAGGAAGATCAAGTACAGTATACATACAAGACAATAGACGACAAGACGGGACGGTACGCCAAATACATCCCCTTCTAGTGATATTATTGTGTTTAGAGGAAACCCTGAAATACTTCTCAAGAATATTTGGAATGTCTGAGGAAAAGTTTCAAGTCAGGCTTGAGTTTCTCATGAAGTTTCTAGATCTTCCAAGCAAATCCAGGTATTTATGGTAGTTCAGGTAATTCAGGTAGTTCAGGTAGTTCAGGTAGTTCAGGTAGTTCAGGTAGTTCAGGTAGTTCAGGTAGTTTAATTCTTTCAGGTAGTTCTGGTAGTACAGGTAGTTTAAGTAGTTAAAGTAGTTGCGGTAGTTCAGGTAGTTCAGGTAGTTTAGGTAGTTTAGGTAGTTCAAGAAGATCAGGGGGTTCAAATAGATTAGGTAGTTCTGGTACTGCAGGTAGTTCTGGTAGTGCAGGTATATATAGAAAACTAGAACTAATGTCTGCCGTCTGGAGGTTTATATTCTATATCTAGAAAACTAGAACTAATGTCTGGAGGTTTATATTCTATATTTAGAAAACTAGAACTAATGTCTGGAGGTTTATATTCTATATTTTGAAAAAAAACTTATGTCTGGAGGTTTATATCCTGATATATTTAGGAAACTAGAACTAATGTCTGGAGGTTTGTATCCTATATTTAGAAAACTAGAACTAATGTTTATATCCTGATATATTTAGAAAACTAGAACTAATGTCTCGAGGTTTTTATTCTATATTTAGAAAACCACAACTAATGTCTGGAGGTTTATATCCTATTTTTAGAAAAAAAAACTTATGTCTGGAGGTTTATATCCTGATATATTTAGAAAACTAGAACTAATGTCTGGAAGTTTATATTCTATATTTAGAAAACTAGAACTAATGTCTGGAGGTTTATATTCTATATTTAGAAAAATAGAACTAATGTCTGGAGGTTTATATTCTATATTTAGAAAACTACAACTAATGTCTGGAGGTTTATATTCTATATTTAGAAAACTAGAACTAATGTCTGGAGGGATCCTGATATATTTAGAAAACTGGAACTAATGTCTGCAGGTTTCTATCCTGATATATATAGAAAACTAGAATTAATTTCTGGAGGTTTATATCCTGATATATTTAGAAAACTAGATCTAATGTCTGGAGGTTTCTATCTTGATATATTTAGAAAACTGGAACTGATGTCTGGAGGACAGCAACGTCGAGCTTCTTTAGCAGTTGCTCTTCTTCATCAGCCAGAGCTTCTCATCCTTGATGAACCTACAGTTGGAGTTGATCCATTACTCAGGTACTAATCCTTTACTCAGGTACTAATCCTTTACTAATACTCAGGTAATAATCCTTTAATTAGGAACTAATCCTTTACTCAGGCACTATTCCTTTACTCAGATACTAATCCTTTACTCAGGTATTAATCCTTTAATTAGGAACTAATCCTGTACTCAGGTACTAATACTTTACTCAGGTAATAATTCTTTACTCAGATACTAATCCTTTAATCAGATACTAATCCTTTAATCAGATACTAATCCTTTAATCAGATACTAATCCTTTACTCAGAAACTAATCCTTTACTCGGGTAATGATCCTTTGATTAAGTACTAATTCTTTACTCAGGTACTAATCCTTAACTCAGGTATTAATCCTTTACTCAGGTACTAATCCAAATTACAAAAAATAATCTTTTCCTGGTTTTCTAAAATGAGGGATTTCCTAGATTGATATATCGGAAAAACTAGATTAACATTTTATTATTTACTTTGGGAGGAAAATGCGGAAAATAGATTCCTGCTTGGTCCATGGTGAACTTATTTGATGCTCTAATTCGTATTTAGAATATTTCCAATTTTTTATCACCCTGTTTTAAAGAAAATACAGGGCTGAAAAAATTAAAGAAGAATTCATTTTTGAAATATTAAAAAAATTGTTTGTGTTTAGGCAATCTATCTGGGAGCATCTAATTCAACTAGCAGGTATAGAAACAAAAACTTTCTAATCATCTTCTTTATCTTTTTTTTTATATTTTGATTATATTCCTTTTATCTGTTCATTTTTAGAGTCTAATTTTTAATATTTTAAGTAAAAAAAGTGAAACTTTTTTTCCGGAGCATACTTCTCGTAAACTTAATCTCAAGTAACCCTCCGTTGATAGCTGTCTGATTCACAAGAATACCCTTAAAAAATTTATATGATCTAGTATGAATTAGGTAATTTCGTTCTTGCTTTTAAACACTTTTCATTGTCGTTTCTCGTCACAAGTGACTTGAGCATTTCTTAAATATATGAGGTTACTGGGATTCTTCATAACAAATTTTAGATTAGGATGGGGGTAGAGGGGGATGGTATATCCGTCCTAGATATTCAGAATCACTCCCTCTACACCAACCAATATACATATTGGTATATCCGTCCTAGATATTCAGAATCCCCCCTCTCTACACCAACCATATATACATATTGGTATATCCGTCCTAGATATTCAGAATCACTCTCTCTACACCAACCATATACACATATTGGTATATCCGTCCTTGATATTTAGAATCACCCTCTCTACACCAACAATATATACATATTGGTATATCCGTCCTAGATATGCAGAATCACCCACTCCACATCAACCATATATACATATTGGTATAAATACACATACAGGTAGATTAAAGTAAAGTAAAAAAATAGTTATTTATGAAATATAACAAAAACAAATAAAATTAAGTGTTTCAGGAACGAATATTTAAAACCTCTAAAAGTAGAGGTGTGGGAATATTTCCCCCCAATTCTAAAAACCTTGCAGATATTTAGAACAATACGCCCTTCCTCTAACAAAATTGACTTCTATCTGTTTTTGACATGTCATAATTATTTTTAAATTCATTTTTTGTTTAAGATGGAGAAGATGCGACAACTGTTGTAATTACAACTCATTACACTGAGGAGGCAATGCAGGCTAATAGAGTAGGTAAACTGATCAACTTCTGTACGCAATCCAGTATATATTGGTATATCAAGAAACTAGTGTACTGTATTCAGTATATACTGGTATATCAAGGAACTAGTGTACTATATCCAGTATATACTGGTATATCAAGGAACTAGTGTACTGTATTCAGTATATACTGGTATATCAAGGAACTAGTGTACTATATCCAGTATATACTGGTATATCAAGGAACTAGTGTACTATATCCAGTATATACTGGTATATCAAGGAACTAGTGTACTGTATTCAGTATATACTGGTATATCAAGGAACTAGTGTATTATATCCAGCATATACTTGTATATCAAGGAGCTAGTGTACTGTATCCAGTATATACTGGTATATCAAGAAACTAGTTTACTGTATCTAGTATAAACTGGTATATCAAAGAACTAGTGTACTGTGTCCAGTAGACTGGTTATATCAAGAAACTAGTGTACTGTATCCAGTATATACTGGTATATCAAGAAACTAGTGAACTGTATCCAGTATATACTGGTATATCAAGAAACTAGTGTACTGTATCTAGTATATACTGGTATCAAGAATTTGATGTACTGTAAATATTGTATACACTGGTGAATGTTATATAAAGGAACTAGTGTTCTGTATCCAGTATAAACTGGTATATCAAGAAACTAGTTTACTGTATTTAGCATACACTGCAGTTATGCATACAAGGAACTAGTGTAATTAGTATATACAGGTTATACAAGGAACTAATATACTGTATCCAGTCAGGGAATAGGAATAAAGAGAAAGGAAATGGCGCTGGTCTAGCATGAGAAAGCCAGTCGCACTGCTTTGCAGTCAAGTTCGGTAAACCTTACACACACTCTTTTGGTACAGACACACAACATTACTACAGTCAAGGAAATTGCAGAACAATGTCGTCAATTATAATTAAGCTTGAATAACGAGTAGTTTATTGTATACTTTAATCAAATTATATTCTTTGCATGAAAAGTTGGCATATAGTGTTGATTTAAGTGTATAAATAATATACTACATGTATATTAAACTTATTTTTAAGTAAACTATTAACAATAAACAAATGTACTCTCCTAGATGGTACAAATACCGAGATTTGTATGCACTGTATATATCTACAGTAAACAGTAAACTTTACATACACTCTTTTGATACAGACACACACACATGACGTTTCCGCNATATTTACTGGTATACTGGTTATATCAAGGAACTAGTGTAATGTATCCAGTATATATTGGTATATCAAGGGACTAGTGTACTGTATCCAGTATCAACTGATGGTATATCAAGGAACTAGTGTACTGTATCCAGTATAAACTGATGGTATATCAAGAAACTAGTGTACTGTATCCAGTATCTACTGGTATATCAAGAAACTAGTGTACTGTATCCAGTATATACTGGTATATCAAGGAACTAGTGTACTGTATTTAGCATTCACTGTTCTATAGTGTATCTAGTATGTACTGGTTATACAAGGAACTAAAATAAATAATTAATGAAGCAGACCTAACTATTGACTACCCCTAGTTGACGACTTAAATTAATATATCGATATAAAAAGGGAATATAGGGACCCGGTACAGCTTGTATTCTGAAATCATATAATTATCTATATAATAAAAAAGACATTCGTATATATATATATGTTGTATATAGCCGACCAAACGGCCGGACCGATTGGGCTGAAATTTTTTGTGGACACTCAGGGGTGGCTGGCGAGAAAAAATTGAATCTTTTTTCATGAGCAGTCTGTGTATATCTAGTCTATGATTAAACTATAACTTGTTTAAGGTATGTTGAGGAATGGTCGACTGCTAGCTGAAGATTCTCCGAATAATCTACTCCGAACCTATGCAGAACCAGGACTAGAGGAGGTCTTCCTTAGACTTTGTCACGTTGACGGAGCTGTACTCGGAGATACTAATATTGGCAGGTATACACGGTAGCCAACAAAGGGAATGTACTGAGAAGGTTTCTTTTTTATAAAATGAGTAAGTTTACTCTTTAAAAAATATATTCAAGGCCGAGACTCAAATTCACCTTCAGTTCGTGATTAATTAGGTGAAAAACCCGAGAACAACCTTTTTTTGATTCAAAGTTTATAAAATAAAGAGTTATCGAAGATAAAATACGATCTTTCAATCACCAGTTTTGTTTGAACACACTGTTTATTAAAGCATTCAAGCCAGAGAACAAATTCACTGCTCTTTTAAAATTTTTGATAAATTTTAAATTTCAAAATTATTGTTTAAAAAAATAATATCAGGGTATAAAGGGGGGGCTGTGGAGACTGAGCCCCCTTACAGATTTTCAGGCGCCAATTGGTGCTGAGTCCTCTTGAAAGAAAACATATTTTAGCCCCCCCCCCTTACAAATTCGTGTATACGCCCCTGTATATTGTGTATATCTGTGTATACTGTAACCATTTATATCCATGATACAGAAATTGGAAAATGAGAGAATATCCAAGACTAGATTTGAACATGAACCAAATGAATATATTCCGGTTTATACATTATACAACTTCATAAAATTATATATTTTACAACAATACAATATATATCTACAATACACATGAAATATAAAATAGGATAAGTGGTGTATTTCTATTTAAAGGGAAGCTACGTTCCTGGTTTACAATCTTTATATTTTCAAAACTTATGCCTTGCATATTTGTGCAGCATAGACATGAGGAATAAAATTTAGTTTCAAGATATAAAAACGACATTGCAATTCAGTATACAATCTCTTTCATTATATTTAGAATTGATTTTCTTTCAACCAACAACTTTTTAAAAACCATACTCCAGATTCCAGAATTAAAGTTCACGTGATATATTTAGAATTTTAAAGGATTGTTTACAGATTTTGGGTTTATGGAGCAGTCAAATGAAAAGATTCAAGATGTATATAAGTGTAGACCTGGATAAAAAGCCTTTTTTTTTATTTATCAATGACAATGGAAAGTACTATTCCTATTAAATAAACATACATGTAACCTCAAACTATGCACAATGCAGTTTTATTGTTTGACAGACAAGTTGAATAATTATTTATAGCTCTAGGGGGTATATCCCTACCTAGCAGGGGTAATTATTAAGAATCCCTCTCTTTCCCTAGTGTACAGATTTTATTTTTAAAAGTTATAATTTTTCGTAGCTAAAAAGTTGAAAAGATTTAAGGAAAATCTTGTGTTGATATTTTTAGTATCCCTGTTACATAATATATAGCGTAGACAGCCAGTCTTCTATACTTTCTATTGGTTCCATTAATTACAGTAGTTTGCTTAATACATCTTGCTGCATTGTAATTACATGTTGGAATACACCTATACCCTTAGTCAAGTAATTACAGGATTTATTAAATAATTCCTGTTGGATTAATGGGGGGTTTTATGATAAATATTGGGTTATGAATCGATTAATAGGACTTTTATCTATAGTTTTTTTATATTTCTCATTGATTTTTTCACTTCTTAAATGAGTGTTTGCGAAAAGGGGTATAGGTTTACGTCGAAAAATTATCGATGGTGATCGCTACTTATCTTACTTCTATCTGTTGCGTCTATAAGGAGAAAATTGTTAAAATATACTTATACCGAAGAACGTAGCGTCCATACAAATTCAGAAAGGTGCAACATTCGACTCGGATCGTAAAAAAACCAATTTAATTCCAAACAAATTCTTCAAATATTACAACATTTAAAAATCGATAATTTAAATATGCAATGCGTCTTAAAACTATCAATGATTATAGGTTGTAATATCTGAATGATTTGCTTGGAATTAAAATGATTTTTACGATCTGAGTCGATTGTTGCAACTTTCTGAATTTGTATGGACGCTATAACGTTCTTCGGTATGAGCAGTTTTTAAAAATTTTCTTAAACCTAAAGCCACAACCTAGTTGAACATAAATGTCTCATATATATATATATATATATTTATATATAGTTCTAACCTTGTTCTGTTTAGTGCTGAACCTGGATTAGATGATGAGAAGAGAAGAACCTTGAACCTGCTGAAGAACGAGGATGGAGAGGAGAAGATCCCTGACATAAATTTCATTGACAGCAAAACAGAACAGGATGAAAGGTAAAAATTCACTATTAAGTCTATTAGCCTTCGCACTCTCCACCCCGTAAAGACATCTATTACAGTAGAAAGAGAATGCTAGGATTAGCTAAAAGGTTCTTATCAGGGCGCAACAAACAAACACATTTTAAAAGAAAATTTTCAATCTCATTGAAATGCACAGAAAATGAAATCCCAAAATTTCGTAACATTAATGGATAACTTTCTTACAGGGTTACCCACTTACCCACAAAGAATGAGACTTCAAAGACGATTGTACGGAATTGTTGTAGTCCGTTTTCTTGCATTCAAGGTTTTTTATAGGCCAAAACTGGCTTATTTCTTTGCTTAATCATTTAGTAAACTATCGAAATACTTAATTGAACGCAGAAAACAAAAATTAAGCTTCAAATCGTCATAGCTTTAGATTTTTTGGTAACCCCGTATTTTAAGATCGTGTATAGTTTAACAAATTTTATTTTTATTCCCATTTTTCTTTTTATTTTGTTAAAGTACATTTACTAGAATAATACAATATCCATCCAAACTAATTTTTACCACTGGAATTTTCTTTATGCGCGGAGATACTTTAAATTGGAAATAAATATATTTCAAATCTATGATTCACAAAAAAAAAGCGACGGAGGATGATTAAAAAAACAATTTACAATTTTATTAATCCCATTAAAAACAAATCAACAGCAATAGGGACTGTTCCACCGCTTTTATTTACAAAAGTAAAGAAAAACATTATTTAGGAGGTCCCAAAACATCAAAAAGCCAATAAGGTTAATATGTTAACATGTTTGACCCAATTTAAGAAAAAAACATAAAGAAAAATGGCATTTAAAAGTTGTTACTCCAGTAAATTTGAAAATTAACCCAAAAAGACATAAAAATAATGTGCGAAGAAACGTGTTGGAAGAAACGTGTTGGAAGAAACGTGTTGGAAGAAACCTGTTGGAAGAAACGTGTTGGAAGAAACGTGTTGGAAGAAACATGTTGTTAATAATCGCTCGTTTTTTATAAATATCTTAAGGGCAAAATCGTTTTTTTCTTCAGCTTTTGATTAATACTTTGCCTCTTGGATCTGGATCCGTGGTTCCGCGTATTTTTGCTGATACAGATCCAGGATCGCGTATTTTTGCGGATCCAGATCCAGGATCCGGATCCGTGGTTCCGCGTATTTTTGCTGTTCTAGTTCCAGGATCTGGATCCGTGGTTCCGCGTATTTTTACTGATACAGATCCAGGATCGCGTATTTTTTCGGATCCAGATCCAGGATCCGGACCCGTGGTTTTGCGTATTATTGCTGATCCAGATCCCGGATCCGGATCCGTGGTTCCGCTTATTTAATGTTGATCCAGATCCAGGATCTGGATCCTAAGCACTAGTTTCAGGACGAGGTGCTGCCACCAGAACAATAATAAGGATGCAGATTTTGAAAATCATTTTTCAACAGTTAAGATTTGTGTTAAGAGAGCAAAAAGTTTTTTAACAGTTTTTTGGATCCGCATATTTTAGCAGATCTGAATCCAGGAATCCAAGATTCTGCGTACCCATAAAGCACTGCTTTACCTATATTTATGTAAATTTATATTTATCATAAAGCTTTATTTACACACAAAGATATAAATACATATAAAATGATGTAGTTTAAAGGAATTGAGTCTTAGCCACAAATTCAATTTTTGTAATCCTTATATCTTTGCAACCTGATGATGTACACCTTTGATATTTCAAACTTACATTATTTGATCTAACAGCATTCATAGTTTGAAATATTAAAGGTCTACAACATGGGGTTGCAATGATGTTGAAATTAGAAAATTAGAGTTTGTGGCAAAAACTCAATTCCTTTGTTTAAATAATTTGAATATATGTTTTACAAAAGAAAAAGGAAAAATATGCAAAATTATGCACAAATAGGCGACATTGATCATTACTCATTACATAAAACATTTAGTATTTCAGTTATTACGCAATCATCGAATCCTTCAACATATAAATTATTCGTTCTTGTATTTAAAAGTTCTTGTAAAACCGGAACTTTCCATGCATGGTCCAATGGGACATCAAAATATTTCATTTGTTTCTTAACTAACATTTTACTAAGATCCGAAGGATTTACAGTACAATCATTTGCAATAGAAAATAAATTTCTGCCAAGAACTGTGTTGAGGTCATTTTTACATAAATTAGAAAGAAATCTAATGCAAAGCTTAGAACTTGCTTCAATAGTCTCATAGAAAGACACACATCTACTAGCTAACATAGTTTTTACATGTAAACATTGTGAAATACTTTCAATCAAGTACCTATAAGTATCTCTAGGTACATTAAAAAGAATTCTAATTCTTATATATCTATTTATGACATTATTTGTAAATTGTACATTTTAAGAGGATTATTAAATAGTAACAATTACAATAGAAAATATGATAAATGAAATTATAAAGGTAGGAATAGATGTTAAAATTAATAAATACATACGCTCAAATTTTTCATTTACATTTTTCAAGTTATTTAACATAAATAAATAATTTTTTTTTTTATTCAAACAATCAGAATTGTTATTTTATGAATATTGAAATTTAAAAAAAATAATAGAAACTGAACTCTTGTCCAAAATGTTAGGTTTCTAATCCCTATATCTTAGCTACCTGCAAAGATGTAATTAATCCTTTGATATTTTAATCTATGGTCTACGTCTATGATTATTTGATTTTTTACAATTAATTATAGCAAAGGTCTCTAGTTTATCAGATCAGAACTTTTGTGTGGAGTATCTTTAATCTTAAACTTTGATCTTGATATCCAATGTGGTCACTATATCCCTGCAGGGTATAATCACCACGAGATATCGAATTGTAATTTAATTAATCCGAAGGGTTGTATAGGATTGAGATCAATGCTTGATCACGACAGGTAGGTTCAGCGACCTCTTTAATTCATTAAATTTGGTCCCTGCGCTGCTTGTAAAGATAAAAGGATTAGAATCTACGAGTTTGTGGACGGGTGTTCAGTTCCTAAATATTTGTATGTTCAGGGTTGATGATAAACCAGTGTTGAAGTATAATAGATCTAGGTTCTCTCCTCGTGTTGTACAAGCTTGCATGTTTAAAACATTTAACAGAATGAGCAAGGGAACAATACAATCAATTATTATAACAGCTGTCAGGAATAAGTGAAATTATTGCCGTCTCCGTAATTTCTGGACATCTAGAATTATTGTATTTGGTCTCCTCTCTTTGATCAGATATAACAGTTATTTTATTCTTTCCATCGGAACTTCTGTGTACATATTGTTATTCTCTAAAGTTTAATATCGATATCAAATGTGGGCATTTAATTTGATTTGAGGATTGCTTGATCCGCCAGTTTAACATATTCTCGCAGACTGCAGGGTATGATCATTCATGATATTAAATACGATGATCAATGATTGAGCCCGTGATTCACAACAAAACATTTAATACACAGTTAATATTAACAAAATTCATAGCGGGTTTTTTAGTTGCAAAAAAAGAGCAATGCTGATCATATTCCACTATTCATTGATCATCACTGTATATATTCCAAGGGGAGGGTGGATTATGATCCTCCTCCCCCCCCCCCTCCCGTTTTTGTGCAAAAAAATCTAATTGCCGTGCTTAAGACAAACATAGATTAAATAAGAAATATCTTTGCTTTTCTAAACTGTCTGTAAATGTAAATTAAAATAATTCTGGTGAAAACTTGAATGCAGTTTCTAAAACATTGATTTGATTAAAGCATGATTTTTTAATTAAAAATGTTGAACAATTATTTTGTTTTTACAATTTCTGAAAAACTTTTGAGAAGAAATCGAAAATTTGATTAATTGATTGTTTTAATCAGAGATGGGGTTTCCTAATCTACCAATTCGTTCTTCCCGCTTTACAGGTATTTTCTTTCTTAATCTGTACAAATCAGCTGATAAAAGGGACCGTATGCGTAATTTCAAGTGACCTCCATTTGTAGAGTGGTATGCGCGATTCACAATAGTACCCTTTAAACCTTTGACTGATAAAGGATGGCTGTTTTAACCTTATTCATGCAAATTGTCTTTCTGTCAAGAAAAATTCAGATTTAGTTTTCTTTAAAATATATTTGGTTTCAGGTTTCTCTGTTCTGCCTGGCTATTGGGCAGGATCCAAAGGAACTACCAATCAGCATTGTCAGGAAACAAGTGCAAAATATTCAGAAAAAGATTTAAATGTTCAGAAATATGTTGAAGATATTAAAACAAATATGAGTAATTAAAAAGTCTACAATTAAGGATATTGAAAATATTTATAAACTAGTATGATCTATTATAAATATAATTAATGTTAATTAAATCCATTGGGAAATCCCTATATTCGATTAGCAGATAATATGTACTTGTATTTATTTCAACATTAATATATTAGTTCTTCATTGTTCGAAACATCCTATTACCATTATGAATTGCATAGTCTTTTCTATAAAACATAATCGAACAGTCCTATTTCTGAAAGCTGAGCGGAGGGTGGGGGGGGGGGAGTATATTGCATGCAGTAGGGTCGTTATATAACATTCTTTTCTGGGGTTAATTCATGGGAAACCCAGCTCAATAGTTAGAAAAGGATTGTTATACTCTTTAGTATGGAAGGAGAACCACAATTCACTTTCTTTGATCTTTATAATAACATTTTCAATAATTTCAATAATTTGCTGGAAACCCATTTTTTTTAAACGCGATGATTCTGGCCCACAGGCATTTTTTAATAAAATAGTTTTTTTTCCAATCCCTTTTTAACATATTTAGTTGTAAAGCTAAAAATTTTACTAGTAATGTTTTTAATAATTGTATACTATTTTTTGTTAAAAACCTTGTAAATAGAGAAGTATTTGGATTAGGATGATAATATTACAATATACAATATATACAATGTTTTAAATAAAATAAAATAAATTCATATTTTGAATATTTACTTAGTGATGAGCTCGTCAATGGAACTCATTGTGAATACTTCAGTCTAGGTAAACAATAACAATAATAAAACAATAATACTATTTGATAAAAAAAGGGTAAGAACCACAGTTTCAGAACGTGTTCAGTAATTTGTCAAACGGGGTCCCAATACTTTTAAAAAAAAATTTTTTGGGGGTAAAGTTCAGAAATGCAATGTAATCACAAGACGGATGTCAAAGCCTGACATGGGATCCATCTTTCACATAAAAAAATCAATGAAATATTCTGGTCATAGGAAACTATTATGTGAATTATAAAAATTATCAAAATTTAATGCTTTTAACCTCCTCAGATACTAAACGAACACTGATGCATCTATTCTTGTTTACAAATTCCGCCCAAAGAGAACTGGTTTTAATGTGTACGCAGAGTATACACGACCGCAATTAACTTTCCTTGCATTTCACCCTTGTGGGTGATGAAGTGTATGGGAAACAAAAAGTATCGATTTTAGTTTCCAGAAATATCAAATAGAATTAGAATTATTACCAGTTATAATACATTGCACTATGCATTACGACGTTATGTGTTATATTTTTTGGTCAATATAGTTTTTTTAGGAAACCTAAGCTGTAGATTTATCAACTACCTGGACGACAGTACCATTCAACCGATTTGGCAGCCTAGCTATCAAGCTGCTGTAGGTTAGTATATTTTTATCCAATCTGGATATAGCCTAGCCATCAAGCTGCTGTAGGTTAGTATCTTTTTATCCCATCTGGATATAGCCTAGCCATCAAGCTGCTGTAGGTTAGTATATTTTTATCCAATCTGGATATAACCTAGACACCAAGCTGCTGTAGGTTAGTATCTTTTTATCCGATCTGGCTATAGCCTAGCCATCAAGCTGCTATAGGTTAGTATCTTTTTATCCAATCTGGTTATAGCCTAGCCATCAAGCTGCTGTAGGTTAGTATCTTTTTATCCAATCTGGCTATAGCCTAGCCATCAAGCTGCTGTAGGTTAGTATCTTTTTATCCAATCTGGATATAGCCTAGCCATTAAGCTTAACTGGCAACTGGCAACTGGCAACCAAGCCGCAAAGCTAAAATAGGCCAGGACAATTTTATCCTTTCTGCCAGCCCAGCAATCAAGCTGCAAATGGTTACTTATTACCTTTTCTTATGTCCTTACTGACAGTCTAGCCATCAAGCTCAGTTCATGTTCTTAACTGAGAGGGCTGAGGGAGCTGAGGTCAAGGTTTTTTGTATCCAATCTGGATATAGCCTAGCCATCAAGCTGCTATAGGTTAGGACCTTTTCATCCTTTCCAGCAACAAAGCTGTAAAAATATTTAATATGACAGCCTGGCTATGAAGCTTAAAAGGTGTGCAACTACATTATCCAATCTGGAAGCCAAGTCTAGCTAAGGTTAGGTTTTTTATATTTCTGACAGCCTAGCCATAAAGCTGCAATAAGACAGGATATTTTCATCCAATCTTGAAGCCTTGTCGTCAAGCTTTTCCGGCAACCAAGCTGAAACCGAGCTGCAAATGTCAGTAAATTGTTGTTGATTATGGCAGCCAAGCCATCAAGGTCAGTAACTATTATAGAATCTAGCTGGCAATTTGTCAAGCTGAAATATGGGATTTGGCTATGATGATGGTCCAACTTTGCCATATAGTTTACTTACTCTGGTTTATCTGAGTAAAAAAAAAATGCTTGGTTTGATTCTATAATAACGATAACTGGTAGTCTAATTTGGTGATCTGCAAGTCTATTTGTCAAATATATGTTATTGATTTTACTTGTATCTCTATAATTCTGATCATTACTGTTATATTTTGTCATGATTTTTATATTTTAGAATCGGTTGAGTTAGGACAAAGCTGGGGAATAGTTTACATGGGATCTAACTTCTCTAATGCTTTGTATTCAAGAGTAATGGAATCAGGTAATTTTTTAACTCACATTTCAGGTAAAAGAAACGTTAATACTTTTTTTAATCAGTTCATTGATATTTTGTTTAATTAACATAACAGATAGTTAGTTTAATTAATACCTTGATAATTCTCTCCAATCATTAACATAATTTTAAAAAACTACCATTCCTTGGGAATATTTTGCCTAGTCCGAACTTTAGACAGTTCTTTCGATCTGGATCTATATAGTACATGTATGCCCTGCTTTATACCCTGCTTTATAAACTTTCCAAATCCATCCAGAGAATAAGAGACCTATATTAAAGGCTAAAATTTACAGAGAGTTTACTATCATTATCTGGGTCTGTGTTTGGTATTTTCCCACAGGTATTTTTCCAATAGCAACTTTCCAAGTGACAATTTTGTAAGTGGCAACTTCCCAAAGGTTAAGGTCTAGGACAGGCAATAGGGCCTAGTGCTTTTGCTAGAACAGGCTAGAGGCAACATGCTGCAGGGAAATTCCACATTAGAAAGTTGCCTCTTGGGAAAATACCGTTAGGAAGTAGAAGCTTAGGAAAAGCCCTTGAGAAAGCAGGGAGAAGATTTCCCTACTTTTTTTAAATAGTTGATTTTTAGGCTTAATGCCTGGGGGAGACGATGATATTGATTCTAAAGCTGGTAAAATACAGATACAGGTACAGAATACAGAAACAGGTATATAATACAGATACAGGTATATAATACAGATACAGGTATATAATACAGATACAGGTATATAATACAGATACAGGAATGATTTACTGACACAGGTTTAGAATACAAAATATAGATATAAAATACTGATACAGATATAGAATAAAGATACAGGTACAGAATACAGATAAAAAATATAGATACAAAATACAGATACAGATATAGAATACAGAGACAGGTATGCAATACATATTCAGGTATAGATTACAGATACAGAATACAGAATACAGAATACAGAACAAAGATAAAGAATACAAATACAGGTATTGAATACAGATACAGAATACAAATATAGGTATGAATTACAGATACAGGTAATGGACTAGATACAGGTATATAACACAGATACGCGTATATAATACAGATACAGATTTACAATACATATCTAGGTATCGATTACAGATACAGAATAGAGATACAGAATACAGAATACAGATACAGATACAGATACAGATACAGATACAGATACAGATACAGATACAGATACAGATACAGAATACAGAATACAGAATACAGAATACAGAATACAGAATACAGATACAGAATACAGATACTCAATACACAATACAGATGCAGAAGACTGATACTGGTATAGGTTACAGATACAGGTACAGGTTACAGATACAGGTATATGTTACAGATACAGGTACAGGTTACAGATACAGGTATATGTTCCAGATACAGGTACAGGTTACAGATACAGGTATATGTTCCAGATACAGGTATATATAACACAGATTATATATTTTAGGAAACCCTTATTATTATTATTTTAGTATTCTATCCATAAATATGTATTATCATTATATCAATATCTTTTATAGGGAACAAATTTCCTTATCATTATAGTTAATACACTGGAATCAATACTTATGCATACAAATAGGGATTTATTATTAACAGGATGAAGAAATAAATTTGAGTTTTATTTGTATTTATTTATTTTTTCATCTTTTCATTGCTGAGTATATTGTGTTATATGAGTGGGAAGAGGGTAACATCAATTGTTTATTTTCCTGTATTATCCTGGAGTATAAAATTAGAAGTAACAATATGATATTGTTTACATTCTAGCAAATAACAATACCCCCACCCCCTCTACCACTTCAGCTTTCTTATTTTTTTTACAAAACAAAACAAAAATTATAAGAAATCATTTTGCTGTTCTGATTAATTTGGATTTTGACATATCGAAAATAAACATGAAACACAGCAATTGTGCAATGCTCTATATATATATATAGGGATGTTAACGTTTTCATTTTTCAGAAAAACGATCGTTTCGTTATGATAACGACGACGAAAAATCGAAAACGAAACGATCGTTTTTAAAAACGATCGTTTTTTAAAAAGTTCGTTTTTTTAAAAATGGTCGTTTTTAAAACGATCGTTTTTCAAAACGATCGTTTTTCAAAACGATCGTTTTTATAAAATTCGTTGTTTTGTTAACGATCGTTAACGACGGACCTTCGTTAACGACGACCCTTCGTTAACGATCGTTACCGACGACCCCTTCGTTAACGATCGTTAACGAAGAGAGGAAACCGACCTGAAGGGCATCTGTACTTATCATTGAGTAGTTTTTAAGAAAATATCAAGGAGTTTTAACTCCCCCACAACTGTTAAACTTCATGTAAGACGACATTCAATAAAGTTGCATGTAATTTTTTTCCAAAAACAACCGTTTTGATAAAGTTCGTCGTTTCGTTAACGATCGTTAACGACAACCCTTCGTTAACGATCGTTAACGACGACCTTTCGTTAACGATCGTTAACGACGACCCTTCGTTAACGATCGTTAACGACGACCCTTCGTTAACGATCGTTAACGACGACCCTTCGTTAACGATCGTTAACATAATTGTCAATAAAAAAAAATTTCAAAAACGATCGTTTTTTAAAAACAATCGTATAAAAAACGATTGCAAATCGTTTTAATAAAAACGATCGTTTTCAAAAATGATCGCTATTCGTTTTCAACGTTCAAAACGAGTGGGTCGTTTTTAAAAACGATCGTTTTTTTCTGAAAACGAAACGATCGTTTTTGAAAACGAAACAAAAAACGATCGTTTAACGATCGTTTAACGATCGTTTACAAAAACGATTAACAACCCTATATATATATACACAAGTTAATTTTCAATCTACAGGTAAAAATTGTGCTTTATAACAATATTAAGAACACATATAATTCTTATTCCACAGTTTTAAGGGTTCCACTGTAATATATGACAGAGCTTATATGCGCATCCAATGGGGCTTCTTCTTGGAAAACATTATTGCTTTAATGGATCTCTAAAATCTTTGAATTATAAATATTGAAATTTGAAAAAACAATAATAATTTTAGAATTGATAGCCAATTCTAAAATATTATTGTTTTTTTAAATTTTGATATTTATAATTCAAAGATTTTAGAGATCCATTAGCAGATGTGTTAAAAATAAAAATAGCTTAAAGGCTTTTCACAAGGCGTAAAATATCAACCATAAATCACTGCATTTTTTTTACTGTAAAACCATTAATCAATTAACTGTCTTGTAGTTGGATGTGACAAACCAGCAGATTGCCTTCACAGTGCAACTGAAGCTAGCGCAAGCCTTCCAGCGGTTTGTTGATCAGCTGGCCACTGTCTGCCATATTTCTGGTGACGCGGCATCTCTTCCACTAGAGTTCCAGGAACCGGTTTATGGAACAGATCGTCTTACTTTTACGGATTTCATGGCACCAGGTAAATTATGCCTTTTTTCAAGTTTTACAACTCTTAAGCTAGAACTTCAGACACATCTAAAGAATTTCTAAATGTTGTTTTCTAAACCTCCTGATAATGGAATACTGGAGATTAGTTTTTTTAATTGAATATTATATAGAGCTCTTTAAAACTGTTCCCGCATATTTCATGGCAATTTATTTTTTTAAACAATTACTGCGACTTAGGTATAAATAATAATATAAATCCTATTGAAAAATTGTCAAGACGACACTTATAAATTCTTTCGATGTTTCCAAAGATCTGGGTTATGATGTTTGTTGTATTGCTCCATATCTCATATCCTTTCATGAGTAAAATTTTTATTGGTATTTTTCCCGATTTTTGTAATTTTTTTAAATCCCACAAGCCTCATATAAGCAATGGTGCAGCTCTAAAACTATATTCCGACCATTTTTTTCACAATTTATATTGCTCACTTGGAATAATGTGTTTACTGCTTTTATGTCAAATATAATAATGTCAAGTTTCGTATTGATTTTTTCAACCACAAAGTACATCTTGCCCATGCAGATATTATTCATAATAATAACATAATATTTTCAGGCATAATATTAACTATTGTACACAGCATGGCTCTGGGCTACTCAGCCATGATAATACTCATAGGAACCCGACCAATTTAATAAACAAATTTTGTTATTTAAGGGCCCTTTTTATCTAATGATCATTGTTCTTATTGATACTCTTTTACTTTTGGTCTATCATACAAATAAAATTATTGCGAATTGCAAAATATTTTCCGCAACCCTTCCAGTCCTAAATGTCTGGGACTATTTCTAATTGTGTCCGGGTCTGATATAGAGCGGAATGAGGGTCTGCTTGACCGAACCTGGGTGGCCGGGGTCACATCAAGCGAACTCTCTGTTGCGCATTTTCTCTGTGCTGTGTCGGTCAATCTCGTACAGGAAAATAAACCAACAATCAACTCAAACGTATTTTTAAGCTAAATTTTTAAGAATTTTTTTTTCATTTAATAATCTACTTTAATTAAATGCATGAGTTTTGGTGTTATTTTCTGGTTTTTAGGTTATTGTCACACTGGCCTTTATGATAGGAGTTTTTAAGGTATTGATTTCCTTTTAAAGGCTTGCTGCTTATGAAAAACATTAAGATTAAATAAAAATTGGTAAGAATCATCAAAAGATTTGATTAAAAGCAAAGACATTAATTTTTGAAATCTTTTACTTTTTTTAAGGGTTTTTGTTCAGGTTCCAGTGGAAGGTTCGCTGATCCTTCTCTTCGTGTTAACTTTACTCCAGGGTCTCTGTGGAACTACTATAGGTGAAATACAATTATATAATAGTAGCAGGGGCTTCCATTAAGCATGGGGTTAATGAAAAAGGTTGTCTTTACTTACACGGTGTTTAACAATTAAAGCATTTTTTTCTTTTTACAATGACAGAGAGTTTCGGATTTGCCCATATTTCAATTCATTAAACACAACCAAACTCAAATTTCTCACTTATTTTTTTTATACAAATAATTTTTTTTTAAATCAACGACAGAGGAGATAATTTTTAAATACCGGATTTACCTCAGGATACGTACTCAGTAGTTCTTTCTAATCCCGGACCAAAGACCACAAGGTCTTTCGTTAGACTTTAGAAGGACTAATTGATCCAATACAATAAATTCCCTATTCACTTCTTCCGTCACAAGCGATATATTTAACTATTTCGGGTTTAGTCCAATTAAATGTGACGAACTGTATTTTAGACAAAGCAGAAAAATGATTAGTGCATCAGATATTGCTTGAGACAGAAGAAGATTTCAAGCTATTTTGTCATGAAATACATGGAAAATGTCATGACGGTGCCATTTGAATGGATGAACTTTAAACATATAAGATGAATAGATGTTCCAGGTTTAATAATATATAACCATGTTCCAGGTTTAATAATATGAAACCATGCTCCAGAATTAATAATATGAAACCGTGTTCCATGTTTAATAATATGAAACCACGATCCAGGTTTAATAATATGAAACCATGTTCCAGGTTTAATAATATGAAACCATGTTCCAGGTTTAATAATATGAAACCATGTTCCAGGTTTAATAATATATAACCATGTTCCAGGTTTAATAATATGAAACCATGTTCCAGGTTTGATAATTTCCAGTGTCTGCCAGACCCAGCAGGACGCTACTCAGATAGCTCTAGGAATATTCTATCCCAACATGATACTTTCAGGTTAATAATTATATAATCTCAAACTCAAGGTACTAATGCAAGGAAAGTTATGGCAGAGGTGTACGCATTTTTTTGTACTGCAGTGTACTGCCTTTGGGCGGAAAAGTAAACACGAGACTGATGTCATAGCCTGACATGGAATCCATTTTCACAAAAAAATTATCTATTAAATATTCTGGTCATTGGAAACAATTATGTGAATTTTCAAAACTATCAAATTTTAATGCTTTTATCATCCTCGGATACTAGACGAACACTGATGCATCTATTCTCGTTTACCAATTTCGCCCAGAGAGAACTGGTTTCGATATGTACGCAGAGTATACGCAACTGCAATTAACTTTCCTTGCATTAATACCTTGCTCAAACTCTAAAGGGATTTTAAATAACACTTCATTTGAAGGGTAAATACCCTTTCAACTTTCTGACTAGTAAGGATAAGGAGGAAGACAAAGGATATTATTTTTCTCTCTAATAACCGTTTTAAAAGTAGCGTTGTGAATCCAGTATTTAGGTTTTTAAATGTTTAGTCACTTAAAATTACATTGATTGTCCCTTGGTTGTTCAGAGCATGGAAACATCCATTAAGTCACAATCAAAACTGTAATTGGAAAAAAGTGCAAATTTTTATCACCAAAAATGTCCAGCGGAAAAAGTCGTAGAATTGCGAATTGCAAGAGAGTCCTTGATAAAAAAGAACACTTTGTTACTGTTGCTTTAAAAAAAACAATTTCGGACTTAGGTCTATAAAGTAGTTACACTTTTACAATGTCTGCTTAAGAACGAAGTAACTATTTGTGCAACTTAACGTCTTTTTATATTTAAAGTTATGAATTCTACTGGATTAAATAGCCAAAGTTAAAAATATCAAAGGTTTACACAGTCAGGTTTCAATGTTATAGGGATTAGAAAATTAGGGCGAGTAGTCCGTTTCTTTATGAGCTTCAGTATCATTTATATCATCATGATAATTTGATTTAAACTAAGCTTTCGGTGCGTACTGCAGTAATCTGCAGTACACTAACAGAAGACATTGTGGGGTTCATAAGTTCTTTAATTAACAGAACAAAAAACAAATTCAAAAACGATTGTGTGAATGCATTTAATGGTGACATTTTCAATAACTTTTTTATTGTTTTATTATAAAAAATAGTATATACCCGTTCCCTAAGCCCTCTTCTCCCGTGTTCACGATATCAAAACAATTTCACCTCCCCCCCATGAGTTTTGGTGTTATTTTCTGGTTTTTAGGTTATTGTCACACTGGCCTTTATGATAGGAGTTTTTAAGGTATTGATTTCCTTTTAAAGGCTTGCTGCTTATGAAAAACATTAAGATTAAATAAAAATTGGTAAGAATCATCAAAAGATTTGATTAAAAGCAAAGACATTAATTTTTGAAATCTTTTACTTTTTTTAAGGGTTTTTGTTCAGGTTCCAGTGGAAGGTTCGCTGATCCTTCTCTTCGTGTTAACTTTACTCCAGGGTCTCTGTGGAACTACTATAGGTGAAATACAATTATATAATAGTAGCAGGGGCTTCCATTAAGCATGGGGTTAATGAAAAAGGTTGTCTTTACTTACACGGTGTTTAACAATTAAAGCATTTTTTTCTTTTTACAATGACAGAGAGTTTCGGATTTGCCCATATTTCAATTCATTAAACACAACCAAACTCAAATTTCTCACTTATTTTTTTTATACAAATAATTTTTTTTTAAATCAACGACAGAGGAGATAATTTTTAAATACCGGATTTACCTCAGGATACGTACTCAGTAGTTCTTTCTAATCCCGGACCAAAGACCACAAGGTCTTTCGTTAGACTTTAGAAGGACTAATTGATCCAATACAATAAATTCCCTATTCACTTCTTCCGTCACAAGCGATATATTTAACTATTTCGGGTTTAGTCCAATTAAATGTGACGAACTGTATTTTAGACAAAGCAGAAAAATGATTAGTGCATCAGATATTGCTTGAGACAGAAGAAGATTTCAAGCTATTTTGTCATGAAATACATGGAAAATGTCATGACGGTGCCATTTGAATGGATGAACTTTAAACATATAAGATGAATAGATGTTCCAGGTTTAATAATATATAACCATGTTCCAGGTTTAATAATATGAAACCATGCTCCAGAATTAATAATATGAAACCGTGTTCCATGTTTAATAATATGAAACCACGATCCAGGTTTAATAATATGAAACCATGTTCCAGGTTTAATAATATAAGGTATACCAGGATATATTCCATCCTATAGTAGCCAGGTATACCAGGATATATTCCATCCTGTAGTAGTAAGGTACTCATCATATCAAATCCGCAGTAGCAAACCAACAAAATGAAAAAACTATTTTTTTAACACCTTTTTTTCTATTTCAGAGGATTTCTTGTGAGTTTGGCTTGGATTGCCGTAACCTATATCATATTCAAGATTAAAATAGCAAGATCTCATTAATTCTTACTACAGGCTCTAGGCTTGCAACCTTACATAAGTTAAACCTTTGAAGCATATATAGGCAACCGAATAAAAAAGTTTTCCAGCTCCAAGACAACAAAAGAGTAACGTGTACCAGCTCCAAGATAAATAAAGACTAATGTTTACCATGCTGCAAGACAACAACAAAATAGTTTATACCAGCTCCAAGACAACTAAAGTATAATGTATACCAGCTCCGAGACAACTAAAGTATAATGTATACCAGCTCCAAGACAACTAAAGTATAATGTATACCAGCTCCAAGACAACTAAAGAATAATTTATACCAGCTCCAATACAAATAAAGTAAACTGTATAGTATACCAGTTCCAAGATAACTAAAGTATAATGTATACCAGCTCCAAGACAACTAAAGTATAGCGTATACTAGTTCCAATACAACTAAAGTATAATGTATACCAGTTCCAAGATAACTAAAGTATAATGTATACCAGCTCCAAGACAACTAAAGTATAATGTATACTAGTTCCAATACAACTAAAGTATAATGTATACTAGTTCCAATACAACTAAAGTATAATGTATAATGTATACCAGCTCCAAGACAAGTAAAGTAAAATGAACACCAGCTCCCAGACAACTAAAGTAAAGTGTATAATGTATACCAGCTCCAAGACAAGTAAAGTAGAATGAACACCAGCTCCCAGACAACTAGAGTAAAGTGAAAGTAGAATGAACACCAGCTCCCAGACAACTAGAGTAAAGTGTTTTATGTATACCAGCTCCAAGACAAGTAAAGTAGAATGAACACCAGCTCCCAGACAACTAGAGTAAAGTGGTTAATGTATACCAGCTCCAAGACAAGTTAAGTAAAGTGAACACCAGCTCCCAGACAACTAAAGTAAAGTGTTTAATGTATACCAGCTCCAAGACAAGTAAAGTAAAGTGAACACCAGTTTCAAGACAACTAAAGTAAAGTGTTCAATGTATATCAGCTCCAAGACAAGTAAAGTAAAGTGAAAACCAGCTCCCAGACAACTAAAGTAAAGTGTTCAATATATACCAGCTCCAAGACAAGTAAAGTAAAGTGAATACCAGCTCCCAGACAACTTTAACATAACCGCCTCAATAAAAATAATCTATTGGAGCTTGAAGCCAAACCAAATATTTCTTCCCATGTCTCTAAACCATAGAAATTTATTAGAGACCTATTTCACTACATAAACTTAACAAAAATATAAAATGTATTTATTTCTACTTAATTCTGATCATAAAAAACTTTGTGCCTAATTATAAAGTTAGCAAATGTGGCTGTTATTAATGACCAATTAGTAACTGTTTGATGACCATTTTGCTCAATTTTACTTAATGGAAAACATAAATGTTAATGCTAACGGTTGCACTTTTTTCTTGTGCTTAAAACTTATACAAAAAAAACATTCCAAAACTATGAAATCTCGTTTCTAGCATTTTTGAAAATCTTTTTGTTTTGCTATGGAAAGAAACTGTTAATGTTTACATGTATTTTTTCCAGTGTAAAAAGAATCTAAACCCGTCCTTTAATTAAAACAATAATTAAATTACATTATATTTAAAATTAATAAAAGAATAAGTTTAATATATTTTCTCTTAGAACACTTTTGTAAATATAACTTTGATCGTTGTAACAGTAAATAGTCCTTTCTAGTAATTGTGAATAAATGTATATTTGAAAATATTAATATTTAAAAACATTAATATTTAAGAATATCAATATTTAAAAATATCAAGATTTAAAAACATCGATATTTAAAAATATTAATATTTAAAAATATCAATATTTAAAAATATTAATATTTCAGAATATCAATTATTTAAAAATATCATAGTTACCACTACAATGTGAAACTGGAAGACAAATGAATCTGAGAAACCTCAGTCCGAAATAATATCTTAAAATTCACACTTATTTTTATTTTCAATGAATTGTCAATGTATTTTCAACCACCTTTATCTATTGAATTAGAGTATCATTTAACAATCCACAACGCTAAGTACATTCTTTTATGAAATAGATTTTGTCAGATTTCTTAGGCACCGAATAAGCAAAATAATGGTTGAACTTTCAGTCAGGTAAAGAAAATACATTGTTGTGAATTGTTGATGGTACTCTCTTTACCTCAGCAATTCTCATAATATTTAAATCAATTCAATAGTTTAAAAAAAAATAGTTTTTAACTGATTATTTACAATTCAGCAATTTAAAAATAAATAATGTTTTATACTTTTTAATACACTATAAATGTTTTTGAAAAATATGTGAGTTTTTATGTTATCAATGTTTATTATTTCTCATTTTTTTCGTGTAATAATTTGTTTCTTAATAAATTACACACAACTTAAACAAAAACAATTTCTTAAACTCGTCAATGGTAAACGTTTGAAGATTAGACCAGATGAAGTTAAGCTCTGTAGCTTAACTGTAGATCATTTAAAGGTTTTAAAAATATATAAGATTAAATTGTATTTTTATTTGAAATAAGTTTTTAATGGGACTGTTAATTTCAAATGAACCTTCTTTTTTAAATATTTACATGTCTAATTTATACCGGAGGCAGTATTTAAAGAATTTGAGCCGCAGCTTGAATTTGAGACGCCGCTCAAATATGGTTGGTTCCACTTAAAATTGTATTCAATGTTTCAAGATTTTAGCCGACGCTCAATTGAAACCGGTTTTCGGCGGATTTCGCAGCTTAAATACTGAAAATGAAAATTATCAGTTTTCAAAAAATAAAAATAAGGCTATTTCCAAAAATGTTGCTTAGACGGCAGAGTCTACGGCCTGTAACTCTTAAATGGAGAATCACTTGAAAATACATCGTGTGTCCTCTTAAAATAGCATAATAACATTTTCAAATTTGAATTTTATTATTTTTTAATAAATTTTTAACTTAAAAATATCGAAGGGTAAAACTTAAGAAATATATTTATTTATATGATATATCAAGGGCGCCATGACAAACTCCTGAAAGACAAACTCCTGAAAGACAAACTCCGGAAAGACAAACTCCGGAAAATAAAAACTTCTGAAATACAAACTCCATAATATCAAATTTAAAAAAATGTTTCACAATTTATATTTAATGTAGCCGCAGCGCTCTGCCCAGAAAAAATAAACAATAATAAATTTGCTGGTTATTCTGATCATTGTAATACTTTGCTGCTTGAAGCATATTCAAATTACTAAAGATTGAGAATTTTTTCTAGGATATTTTCTCCTAAAGTTTATGAATTTTATCATATTTCATTCAGAGAAAAATTTCATAATTTCAGGAGTTTGTCTTTCAGGAGTTTGTATTTTCAGGAGTTTGTCTCGTCAGGAGTTTGTCTTTCCGGAGTTTGTCTTTCCGGAGTTTGTCTTTCCGGAGTTTGTCTTTCAGGAGTTTGTCTTTCAGGAGTTTGTCCTGGCACCATATCAAGCAATTTCTTGAGTCAACTTTTCAAAATAATTAAAAAAAACAACAATAATATTAATAAACATCTAGGAGTCCTCCAGGCATCTTATAAACTCCTAAAATATTAATGATTATCAATTATATTATATTATATAATATCCCCCCACCCCATCAGCAGATTATTTTATTTTTCATTTCACTTTTCCTATCTGAGAAGGTTTCATGTATTAAACTTTAATTGTTTAATATTCTAGTTTAATTATGCATGACAGATTTTATCAAATAATTACCTCTATAACAAACCCTACCTTTCTTTTCTTTACCCTTAGATGTGGGTGGGGGTATCCCACTGAGATAGAGTCATAATGTTTTCATTTTTTGCAGAACTTCGCCCCCCAGCGACGGTAATGATTTTATAAATCACCCCCCTCAAAAAAATCCTTCATTTATACCTGCGTTGAAATCACTCCTTCGCACTCCATTCTGAAGCCAAAAAAAATAAAAGTTTAGTTTTAAGTTTAAAGTTAGTTTTATAAACATTCATACTTTAAACTTCGGCGTAATTTCAAGTAACCCCTCAGTTCAATGCGTTACATGCACGATTCGAGACACAAAACTAACAAGAAAATATTGTTTTTTTCTGTTTTAAACAGATATAGTTCTTTCGATTTCTTCTCTTTTCTTGGCTGCAGAAATCCACTAGTCACTCTTATAGAGGACCATATTTGATACTCAAATAATTTTAACTCCATAATGAATACCATTGGGAATCAAACAATTCAAAAATATTTTTGGGTGGTTCAAAACGGGTGTTGGTCAACGGACGATTAGATTTTAGTTTTATAATGTGTAATTTTTACATAACTTATAACTTATTGTGTGGTGGATTCTTGAATAACAAGAATATATCCTGTGAACTGGTTTACCTGAGAATGAATATATCCTGTGAACTGGTTTACCTGAGAATGAATATATCCTGTATATTGGTTTACCTGAGAATGAATATATCTTGAGTACTGGTTTACCTGAGAATGAATATTTCCTGTATACTGGTTTACCTGAGAATGAATATATCCTGTGTACTGGTTTGCCTGAGGATGGATATATCCTGTATACTGGTTTAACTGAGAATAAATATATCCTGTATACTGGTTTACCTGAGAATGAATATATCCTGTGTACTGGTTTACCTGAGAATGAATATATCCTGTGTACTGGTTTACCTGAGAATGAATATATCCTGTGTACTGGTTTAACTGAGAATGAATATATCCTGTGTAAAGGTTTACCTGAGAATGAACCCGTCCTGTGTAAATTGTCTGATTACAAGAGTGTCTGGAGAACTCTCACATTTCTCCGAGCACAGAGGAACCTACAAGTACAAGTATACTCATACACTAGCTTGGGAACCAAGCTTTGCCTGGAGTCAACCCAACTTAAAATCTTTAAACAAAGTTATGAGAACATTCTTGAGGTCTCCAGATGTCCCGAACTAAAATTTGTGGTGAATCGGTCCAAGGGTTCATGAGCTATAATCGGATCAGGGGTTCAGGAGCTATACTAGGTCCAGGGGTTCAAGAGCTATAATCGGTTCAGGGGTTTAGGAGCTATACTAGGTCCAGGGGTTCAAGAGCTATAATCGGTTCAGGTGTTCAAGAGCTATAATCGGTTCAGGGGTTTATGAGCTAAAATCGGTCCAGGGGTTCATTAGCTATAATAGGTCCAGGGGTTCATGAGCTATACTCGGTCCAGGGATAGATACATATCTTCAAATCAGGAGTGATAATAGGGTTTCTTTACATTTTACGATTTATATCACAGCTCTGTAGCTATAGTTACTACTGTGCGGCCCACAAATGTCCAGCCTTTTCTACAATATTTGTTATTATTTACATAAAAACTATATTTCCTCAGCTCTCTGAATAACCAACAGTGACGTATGAAACATAAACCCTAACCTTCAATCTCCTTAATTATATTCTCCTAGCATTACATATTTATAGAAGCAATTAGAATTTGTTAGTAAAATCTCTGTCCATGTAAAAATCAAATGTTTTAAAAAATTACCTGATAACTCGTCATTACATTATCCTCAATCAAAATAATGACTCTGAAAAAGAAAATGAAACTAATCACCCTGTAAATTAAAAGCAAAATACTCACCCTGTTAATACAATCATTATTTCTCTGTGTTTATAGGAAAAAGGCCGAATTTGTCTCAAGAGTTAATTGTTGAATCAATTCTATAGTCTAGGGAGGGATACAAAGGGGATCTAGGTCAGGTTTTAGGGGAATATTATTTGATTAATTGATTAAAATGATCCCTTTACTTCTTTTGTACATTTGATCAGGGTGAACGTATAAAATGAACGTTTAAAGACGACCATACTCATTTCATGGTGAATTTGCTGAAGTCTATATAGAACCTTCTGATCAATATATTTATAGAGTTTTGCCTCAGCAATTATTAAAGTCTCATCCTTTATGGGTCCCCCTGTACCTGCACTCCCTACCATCAGGTAGAACTGTTTCAAATTCTTCTCCAGGTACAAACTTGATGCAGTTCACGGACATCTTACTGGAAGCAGAACCAAACCAAATCTCAGTAATAAGCTGCCATCTTGGAAAGTAAAAGTCATTTATCGTTTTTAGATGTCTATGCTTTGGTTCGATTGTGAGGTATTTCAAGGTAACGGTATAGAACTTTTTTTTTGAAAGGAGCATATTTTGTAAACTTGTATGAAAAGGTAGTTTGAAACATTTTTTCTTGAAAAGTATTAAATTTTATGAAAAAAGGGTTTAAAAAACAAGTAACTCAGCAAGAAATACAAATTTAAAACTTCTTTAAACTGTCCAATATTATTTTTTGGGATTCCTAATTTTTTTTTTAAGTTAGTGATGGTAGTTGGATCTTGGAAAAAATCAAAAGGGATAAAAATTTATTTTAAGAAAAAATTGTAGTAGTGTGCCCTTTAGACTTTTATTGATATATTTGTATGCTAACTATTACATATTTTGAAAATAAAATATTATTATCATACAAATTTTCAAAAACATCTTTAACGGGATATTTGCGGTATATTACATGAATGCTTTGTTGACCATGTAGATCATCGCAACTACCACTCTATAAATGGAAGGTCAATTGATATTGTAACAATGTGTGATTTTGTTGATCTTTTACGATCAGCGATTCAAGGATTTTTTAGATCGCTGAGATCATAGCTACCTAGGAGTATCATGCCCCCCCCTTTTACCCTTTGGATAGACTTTTGAATCCTAACGGATTTATTTGAGTTTGCATGTGAATTCTATAAATAACCCAAGCCAAGCTGATAACCGAAGCCACGCCAATAGTTCCGTTATTCCAGAGGCCCGGGCGCTGGTGGGATGGCCGCCCAGCTCCCGGGGTTCCCCTGGAGATCTTCCATCACTCTGAACTATTCTCAATTCATGCAATTTGATTCGTATAGTATTTTCTTATAGTGTTTGTATCTTTATAAATAATAATAAATTGTAAGAAAAACCGACTCGTCGAATATTAGATCAAATGAGTAGTTGTATTGATTCATTTTTCTTTCATATATAACAATATTACGTCTATGGATGGAACTGATTTAACTATATTTTTATGTATGGAACAGTTTTGGGTTTTGAAATATTATGAAAACAAATAATTATGTTAAATTTAGTCTTAACAGTGAGGACAAGGTTAAATTAATCTTCATTCAACCTGGAGATGAAGAGAGCAAACCTGGTCATTCGAGTTGTTAAAGGATGGATGGAACCAACTGCTTCAGGCAGTGAAGGGGCCCATGACCCATGCTTTTAAAAACAGTTATGATGAGCAAACAAATGCAGTCATGGATCCAGAATAATAAATGATGACTTGATGCTATCTGAACCTATTGCGGAGAAACTATCAACGTACCTGTTTTGCTTGGAGTCAGAAGGGATAACATTAAAATATACATAGCAGTCTTGAGCCAACTTTACCTACAAAAAACATTACTCCTGATTATTGTTTTGACACTTTCATTTGAAGAGAATATCTAATGGATACATTTTGCTTAAAAGAATATTAGTAGAATAAATCCTCTTTTAAAATGTATCACATGATAAAGAAGATTATAAACGACATAAACGGACGCATTATTCTAATAAAAATGGCCATTTTTTAAAAATTAGGTTTAGAATATCATTACAGCGTCACTTTAAACAAACATAAAATAACAGGTTTGAATTTAAATAATCTAAAAATATCTTCTGAAAAGGATTGTAATATTGCACAAGTATATTACTTCAAATATTTCTCTCTAATTACCTTGCCACCACTTGCAACCCTGTACTCTACCTTAGCTTCTGGTATATTTACTCTTCTCCAGTACTCCTTCAGGTTACTGCAGGATACACGCTTATATCTTCCTGAATTAGGATACACGCCTTATACCTTCCCCTTGTATTAGGATACACGCTTATTTATATCATCCAAAATTAGGATACATGCTTTACCTCCCTAAATTAGGATACACGCCTTATACCTTCCTAAATAAGGATACACGCTTAAATCATCCAAAATTAGAATACATGCTTATACCTTCCTAAATTAGGATACACGCCTTATACCTTCCTAAATAAGGATACACGCTTATACCTTCCTCCTGAATTAGAATACATGCCTTATACCTTCCTCCTGAATTAGGATTGATGCTTATACCTTCCTAAATTAGGATACACGCTTATACCTTCCTAAATTAGTATACACACTTTCCTGAATTAGAATACAGGCCAAAACCATCCTGAATTAGTATACACGCTTACCATCCCTAATTATAGAATACAGACCTAAACCGTCCTAAATCAGTGTACACGCTTATACCATCCTAAGTTAGGATACACGATGATACTGTCAATTTTATTTACTGATCGATGACCAAATATTTCTGTATGAAGAAGTTATTTCAGAGGTGTACGCATCTTTTGTACTGCAGTGTACTGTCTCTGGGCGGTAATGTAAACACAAGACAGATGTTACAGCCTGACATGGGATCCATCTTTCACATAAAAAATCAATGAAATATTCTGGTCATAAGAAACTATTATGTGAATTATCAAAATTATCAGAATTTAATGCTTTTAACCTCCTCGGATACTAAACGAACACTGATGCATCTATTCTTGTTTACAAATTCCGCCCAAAGAGAACTGGTTTTAATATGTACGCAGAGTATACACGACCGCAATTAACTTTCCTTGCATTACATCCTTGGTTTAGACCACATTTTTCGTGTATATAGTCGACACTGCTTACTAAAATTTTTTTTTTTTAATTCCGAATACTAGAACTAAGGATGCAGTTCTTTTTACTTCATTTATGGTAAATTGTGGAGCCAAGATAACTGAAGAATTTACGTCTAATTAGAACTTATAAACCAGAACATTCCCGTGATTCTGCCGGATTCCCTAATCAAAATTTGAGGCAAATCGGTCAAAGGGACTATGATCCGACATGCAAACAGACAAACAAATAGTTTTAGAGCACCCTCTACAATTTATCTAAATTAGATCGTAAAAATTGATCATAACTGCTAGGCCATAATAAGGGTTGAGATTCTTCAAGACGACATTTGAATTTATTACAGAAAGGAATAATGGAAAAAAGAAAAAAGTTAAAAATCACATTTCTTGTAAGAAAGGAAAAATAAAACAGTAATTGAAAACCAAACTGTTTTAAACGGTTTTTGAGGAATTTTCTAGATTGATTATATTCAATGAAACCCATGAAAAATCTGGAATGGGAATACGACATTCAAGCAATATATTTTTGTGCTTTGCTGCAGTAATCTTAAGGTTCCATTTCTAATAGATGAAGCCTCTCTTTACAGGGACTGTGTAATAGTAATTTCGAGTGATCCTCCATGCAAAGACATGCCCAGTTCAAAGCATGCAGAGGCCGAATTTTAAGAATTTGAGCCGCAGCTTAAATTTAATACGCGACTTAAATATACAGAGCGTACCATAACATATTAGATTATCTCCAAGTTTTAGCGCCAAAATAAACCCATAATACTCGAACCTAGCATTTTCCACAAGAAAATTCTTATTCAATTCTTCAAAACAATTAATTCTTCTAAAATTTTCTGATTAGTCCCGAAAATCGTAACTTAGACCGATTGACGAAAAATGTCTTCAATGTTTCAAGATTTAAGTCGGCGCTCAATTGAAACCGGATTTTGGCAAATTTGAGACGCGGCTCAAATTCATTAAATTCGGACTCTGTACCCTTAAAATCTTTATCTAATCATTAATGTGAAATTTATTGTCTTTTTGCTAGTTTTAATTCTGATAATTTCTACAAGTTTTCCTGCGGTATTTATAACTTTTTTAGAGAACCCACAATTGAAAATAAACAGTTTTCAAAATTACACACATTAATATCTAATTTGCTTGATCTGACAAAGATTTTACGGGTACCGTTGTGCATTACCATCTTTCCATAGAGTATAATTTAAGAAATTAATGCTTACAGTCCCTTTAAGATATTAATGCTTACAGTCCCTTTAAGATATTAATGCTTACAGTCCCTTTAAGATATTAATGCTTACAGTTCGTTTAAGATATTAATGCTTACAGTCCGTTTAAGATATTAATGCATACAGTTCCTTTAAGATATTAATGCTTACAGTTCCTTTAAGATATTAATGCTTACAGTCCCTTTAAGATATTAATGCTTACAGTTCCTTTAAGATATTAATGCTTACAGTCCCTTTAAGATATTGATGCTTACAGTCCGTTTAAGATATTAAAGCTTACAGTCCCTTTAAGATATTAATGCATACAATTCCTTTAAGATATTAATGCTTACAGTCCCTTTAAGATATTAATGCTTACAGTCCCTTTAAGATATAGATGCTTACAGTCCGTTTAAGATATGAAAGCTTACAGTCCCTTTAAGATATTAATGCATACAATTCCTTTAAGATATTAATGCTTACAGTCCCTTTAAGATATTGATGCTTACAGTCCCTTTAAGATATTAAGGCTTACAGTCCCTTTAAGATATTAATGCTTACAGTCCCTTTAAGATATTGATGCTCCGTACCTTTCATAAGTAAACATGATCTCTTCATAGATTCCTCTTTATCTGACATATTAAAGCTTCTGCCGGGTTCAGGATTAATAAAGAACTAAATATTTATTAAAACCGATTCTCAAGCACAGGTCAGAACAGGGTGATGCATTCCTCAAAATTAGTGTAAACCCCTGGGATTTTTTCTATTAATTGTTTTTCTTTCTGACTTTTTACCCTGCCAGTTCAAAAAAAAAATATTAATTATTTTTATTTTTAAAATGGACTATAAGCGTAACTTCAAGTGATCCTTCATGGAAAGAGGGGAGTGGCCGATTTACAACAGTACCCATTTAACTGAAAAAGGGCAGAGGGCTCGGTGTGTTTATCTCTCAAATGGTGTTCAAATTGTTTAAAACTGGTGTGTACGATAGCGTACAGAGGGAACTCAGTGCTGTCAACACATATCTGGAAAATTCAAACGCAGTTGTATAAAATTTTAATGTACATATTTATTCTCGGCGAATTATAAAAAGTAGTTTTCAATATTTCTTTTATATAAAACAGCTTTCATACAATGTGTTAAAATGCGAGGAAAGTTAATTGCAGTTGCGTATACTCTGCGTAAATATTGGAACCAGTTCTCTCTGGGTGGAATTTGTAAACAAGAATAGATGCATCAGTGTTCGTTTAGTATCCGAAGAGAATAAAAGCATTGAATTTTGAAAATTTTGATAATTCACATAATAGTTTCCTATGTCATATTTCATTGATTTTTTATGTGAAAGATGGATCCCATGTCAGTCTGTGACATCCGTGTTGTATTTACATTGCCGCCCAAAGACAGTACACTGCAGTACAAAAGATGCGAACTCCTCTGAAATAACTTTCCTTGCATTAGTACCTTGTTTCAGACAAAGTGTTTAACAATTACAAGCATTTCTGTCCGTCTCATCCTTCGTCGGTCTAAGGTCCGGGTATTCTTGTGAATAGGAGACGATGGAAGGCCACATATAATTATTACAAAGTTTGTATTAAAAATTGTTCATATATTTTAATTTAAAAAAAAAACCTGTATTAGTGTTTGTTTTGGTTCGTTCGTTCCTTTTTTGTAGCAGTTGCCATAACATATAAATATAGTTGTGGGCAAACATTATGAATTACAATAGAACACAAAGAGTATCATCAAACATTTTAAAGAAAGGAAAGGGTACATTTTTCTAAAAAATGAAATGACGTAAAAATATAACCCCCCCCCTTCCCCTTTATATTGTGTTTTTGACACTTCTATAAATCCCTTAATCACTTAATCCAACATTGAGTTTACTTTACTTTACAGATATAAAAAAAGTAAAAGATAATTTGAAATATATGTAAACAACCTGAGATAGATAAACAAATAGATAAATCACCGACGAATCAAGTAAAATTCAAGACATAATTTAAAATTAAAAAACAAGGATTAATTTTTACCACGAAATCTAATTTTCAAATCCGTATATCTTTGCAACCTAATGGTGTAAACCTTTGATATCGTCGAAATTGGAGTGTTTTTTCACAATGAATTCATAGCTTGAAATATCTGGTTGCAAAGACATACGGATCAAAATTCAGAGTTTGGGGCAAAAACTTATTTCTCGATAAATAATAAATTTCAGTGTATAAAATGCTTAGACGTATGTCTTTGTGTATAAAATAAGATTTTGTTTCTTATTTTTTTCAAGATTAAAAAAGACTGTTCCGGCATTGAGCACTTTTGAAAGACGCCTACCGGCTTTTCGGACACCAGTGCACATAAACCTCTACCTAGCTGATCCGAGCATCTACCTGATTCAACTTGAACTTCTTATAACTCTCGTGGAAAAAAACGTTAAAACAAAAAATCATGAATTATTAAACTTAAAGTTTTTTATACGTTTCAAAACCTGTGACAGCTGATTATGTGGTAAACCAAAGTATTAGAAATCCTAAAATGTAAATTATCTAAAAATATTCTAAACCATGTGTCAGCATGCCAAATGAGAATTTTTTTAGTTATTGTCATTTTTATATGATTTACTTTGTATGGTATGACTATAAAAGACGACCTATTTTTACGAATGTCGTCTGACTTCCTGCAGAAAATTTCTTTTCGAAAACACTGATTTTTAACAATTTAAAAAAAAATGTTCTTAAAAATAAGAATTAACCTATTTACTTAACTATTTATTTTTGAAGAGTAAAGGCCTAAGGGTACAGGAATTTAATTGGGGTGAGCCTACTCCACTTTCTGTAGCTCCCCATTATGCTGTAGGAGGGGTGGGTTAAATTATCCTGGGGTGAATCATTGCTCCGGCTCATCTCTGTAACCGCCCCTGTTTCTCACGCATGAATTAAGGACGAACCGAAATCGAATTTGAGTTTTGTTTTATAATAAGGGGATAGCGCGAACGCAGTCCCCCACTATCAAAAATTACGCGTTCGAGTTACCCACATTTGGGGTAATCGTAGGGGTCAGCCCAACCGTTGTGCAATGGAAAGGCCTCACCCTAGAGGAACCGCCTTCTTGATCACGGTTAACCTCCACGCCAGGTAAGTATGCCTGAACTAATGCAAACACCAGTATATGTTTCCTGGGTAAAGATAAAAATCTCCACTTTTAAATTTAAAACGCAGGTATTACTTAAATGCTTTAAACAGAACCAGAATTTGAAATATAAGGTTTTAAAATTATTCTGTGACGGATTTTCTGGGATTTCTAAAAGGTTATGTAGTATTTTTATAGTTTAAAACTATAGTCTTGTGCTTCCATCTATAGGTATAAATCTAAAAATATTTAGTTTTGAATTATCGAGCTGTACTGTGTGAGTGGTGAATGAACCAATGACTGCTAAGCATCCAATTCGTCCGACCAATAAGAAACTTGGCAGGTGAGGGGAGAGTATAGTGGAAGTCTTACTCTCTAGTCCCCTATCAGTACTGACAAACCCCTCCCCATTCCCAGCCATTCTGAAGACCTTCCCCCCCCNCTTCATTCTCCACCAAACCCAATCTACAAATATTTAATTTGGAGTTTACGTTTCAGTGAGAACTAAACTATACTAGCTTCGTGACAAGTTAGAAACTATTTATTGTAAAAGTTATGTACGATAATATTTGCATCTAATAGCTTATCTCTATAGTCTTAAATATAAGTAAAATAAAAATATATTTTTTTCAATTAACTCTTCAAATTTTTCCCAAAAGAATGTTATGCTATTGTTGTTGTTAAAGAAATGCATACAAAATTTAGTTGTTTAAGTAATGCATAAAAAGTCTATTTTTTTGCTGTGTCATCCTAAAATTTAAGGTTTTAGACGTAAATCTGTTTATTGCGAATATACTTATTTAAAAGACGACATTTATGTACGCTGTATACTTTGTAAATATGATCGAATTCTAATTATTATTATTATTATTATTATTATTATTATTATTATTATTATTATTATTATTATTATTATTATTACTATTATGTATTCCAATAATGTTTATTTTGTTTTCCTTTTGTACTTGATCAAATATCTAAATCTAAGAATAATTTTTAAAAGATCCTGTGAACAAATCAAAATATTTTCTTTTGTTAAACAGAGAACAAATAAATGGTAAAACCAAGAAGAAAATATATTTTATAGAAAATACTTGAACACTTGAGAAAACAAAATCAAAAAAACATGGTTTCGTTTAACCAAGTACACGCCATTAATTTATAGATTTATTTATATTGATAATTGTCCAAAAGAACGAACATCGAGTTTGAGGTTCAGGCTCAAATGCTGTTTTTTAGAGACACTCTGTAAATATACTTTTTAATATACACCTGTCCAGCTTAACAGTCTTCAGTTGCAGCTTTAATTAAACCTTTTCAGTAGGACATATAAGCTGCTTGTTTTCAATATATTAAGATGTTCTTTTTTCTTTTTGTGAATCAATATGCAGAAAGAAGGAGTAAAATAAATAATAAGAGTGAGTGAAAATCACATTGAAATATAACTTTTAATTTATTTTAACTTAATTTACCAAAAAATTCATACGTATTTCAAGTTTTGAATTACTTTTGAATTACTTTTTTTCAAATATGCTTTTTAAATTTCCATATTAACCATTTTCTGTTTTATATTACATCTCATAAAATACTTAATAGTATGCATATAATAATATACAACTAGATTGAATTTTCTGTTTTATATTACATCTCATAAAATACTTAATAGTATGCATATAATAATATACAAATAGATTGAATTTTCTGTTTTATATTACATCTCATAAAATACCTAATAGTATGCATATAATAATATACAACTAGATTGAATGAAAATGACGAATATAAAAAGTTTGAAGGTCTCACTCTCAAACCGTGCTTTAAATTCTTGCAACTGTAGAAATATCCAAGCTATACCGTCCTTATCTTAGAATGAAAAATTGAATTGTTTATTCTTAATGAATAATTCACATTCAGTCTTGAGCTGTTAGCTTTTAGTTAACACAAAGTAAATTGGTCGCACATTCAGTCTTGAGCTGTTAACTTGAGGTTAACACACACTTAGTGGACTGTTTACACATTCAGTCTTGAGATATTAACTTAAAGTTAACACACACTTAGTGGACTGTTTACACATTCAGTCTTGAGATATGTTAACACACACTTAGTGGACTGTTTACACATTCAGTCTTGAGATATTAACTTGAAGTTAACACACAGTTAATGGACTGTTCACACATTCAGTCTTGAGTTGTTAACTTCAAGTTAGGGGACACAAAGTTAGGGGACTATTTGCATATTTGCAATCTTGAGCTGTTAACTTAAAGTTAACACAAAGTTAAGGGAGTCTTGAGTTGTTAATTTAAAGTTAACACAAGGTTATGGGACTATTCGCACATTCAGTGTTGAGCTGTTTACTTGAAGTTAGCACAAAGCTAAGGCACTGTTCGCACAGTTTTAAGTGACTTTCATTAAAAGACTTCACTAACAATCCGCTTCTAAAACCTACAGGGTTTCTATCTAAAACCTGCGGGTTTTCTGTCTAAAACGTACGGGGATTTATCTAAAACCTACGGGGTTTCTATCTAAAACCTACGTTGTTTTATCTAAAACCTGTGGGTTTTCTATCTAAAACCTGCGGGTTTTCTATCTAAAACCGGCGGGTTTTTTATCTAAAACCTGCGCGGGTTTTCTATCTAAAACTTGTGGGTTTTCTTGAAATCTAAACTACCTGCAGGTTTCTAAATCTCAGGCATAAATGAAAATATCTACTCCGAGATTTCTCATATAAATGTTTTGAGAGGTACACTAGTGAATCGCTAATGGCACTCTTGAAAGGATATTTTACTGGTCAACATTAATTAAACATCTCTCTAGGGCAAAACTTTTGAATCTGAAGCCAGAAAAGCAGTTCTTGAATCCAACGCTATTATCTACAAAGGAATTGAGTCTTTGTAACAAATCAAATATTTAAACCCCAATATCTTTAGAACCCGATGATGTAAACCCATAGAGAATAGAATATATATAGAGAGGAATTAACTAGAAAAAAGTGTAAGACGGCCATTTTGTTGTACTGTTTCCATACTGCAGGTGTACTTCACATATTTGTGCTATATAACCTTTTGGGCCCTGGAACATCATTTTATACAAAAATTTTCTTGAAAATTATTTGATTTTCTGTAAGTCAATTCTCTGATAGCCTGTCATGCACAAGTGAATTAAAATCAATCTAAAATTTTTTTTTTCATTAAAAACATATTCCTATAATTGTAGCCTGCAGGTAATCAAAGAGGGAAACCCAATATTTTAGAAATATTCAAGATATCAACATATGGTTCAACTTTTTTTCCACCAAAATTGAGGATGGAGATAAACTTAATATTTTAAATTCATTTTACACAGTTGGACCCATAAAACTCTGGAAGAGAAGGTCGAAATTTAAATATGTTTCATGTTTGATGGGTTAGTTAAACTTGTAGCTTGAGTCTAAACACAGTTAAAAATTATTTTGGAATCAGAAGATCTAAAATTAATATTAAAAAAAAACAAATTATGAAATAGGCTGATTTCATAATTGAGTAATTGACCAATGATCATTTCACATAGACTTTCACTTTACTAACGATGATTTTCCGTTATAACTATAAATCAAATGATGTTTTTTATTCACCTAATTCAAATTATAAAGTTTATTTAACAGCTTTAAAAATTCGAAATTGAAATGGATAGTCTAGGGAACATACTGTATTAATGTACTCTACTGCATATAATTTGTGAACATTTACATGATTTGTACACTTTGAACTCCCTTTCAGGCTGAAAGGGACTGAAAAAATTCATACCGAGAGATTCTTTTAATTCCTCTCTATATATTATTCTATTCTCTATGTGTAAACCTTTGATTTTTCAAACTCTAATTATTTGATTCAACAAGAATTCATAGTTTGAAATATCTAAGGTCTGTAACATTTGGGTCCAAAGATATAGTGATTAGAAAATCAGAGTTTGTGGCAAAGTCTCAATTCCTTTTTAATTTTCATATCGAATTAAAATCTGTTCCTTTATTTAAGATAAAAATGATCTGTATTCTGCTGGTGGCTGGACATGCCTCCTCTCTGGAGGCGGAGATTGCGGCGGATAGATCCGGCAAATATTCACACCTGGAGGGCGTTCCTAAGGTACTGAAAATGTACGGGGCCGGGGGTCCTCTATTATTTTTAAAATCTACGAGTGGTTTAAAATATTTCTAGGTCATCGTTAAAGTTACTTTTTATTCTGAGCTGAAAACTTTAGAATGAGATATCCTTAATCCCGATTACTTAATCTAAGTATCCGGACACACTTTGGATTTTCTTCTTGAACCGTTCTTTCTTGGATATAGTAGAGAAAAATCAAAAACCGGTTTTTTAAATTAGAAAATTCCTCCCGGTTTTGTATATTTATCTTAAATGGCGCACAAAATTTCAATTTATCGGCTTCATACACGCGACACTGATTGGTTGAATTTTTTACACTTTTTAGGATACAAGTACAAGATTAGGTTAGTCTCGATATTAAGAAAAAGAGAGGATTGAGCATTAATCTCGATATCCACCATTCTAAAGTTGTCAGCTCTGGGTGCACTACATGACAAAGCAATTATGAATAAATTTGTCTAATGTTGATTATCAAAATCCAACTTTTTATCAAATTCATTTAAAAATGTGATAAGGTTTAATTTTCCGTACAGAGACTGTTGTTGTTATTTCCAGTGATTCACAATAATACACTCCGTAACTTTTAACTTTTTTTAGCTTGAAAACCTATAATAATCGATTTCAAAGTTTAAACTGCGGATACCTCATTCATTCTGGATTATACAAAGCTTTAAAGGTACCATAGTGAATCAGACACGCCGCTCTAAAAATAGACCTGGTACCTCTAATAAAGTATTTTATTAATTCTAGGCACTTTATCCTGGAGTAGGCGGTAAAAAGATTCTTGATTACTGGTGGGATATTATCAAGAGTAGACAACTTTTTTCTGAGGCAAATTTTTTAAGATTATTAATATTTTTTTTACTTATGTTAAGGTTGAGATGAGATTTATTTTTACTTGACAAAATTAGTGATGCTTAAACTTTAAAATCTAAAATTGGCAAAATTCTATTTGAAAAAAAATGTTTGTATCTGCATTCAAAGAATCTTCGTGTACAGCTATAGTATATTGAAAAAAATCCGTAAATGGTGAAAGAAAAAAATACAAAGCAACTAAAAATGTTGTAGAATCGGGTTTATAAAGGAAAATAAGATGCAGCTTACCAGAAACCAAATTTAATGAATTGGAAAGGTCACTAAACTACCTACCACCGGTTCAAATCATGAATCCCTGATTCTAATCCTCATAAATCAGTGATTAAAGATTTGAGCCCACACGACGGTAGGTATAGTTCAGTAAACTTCTATTTTCAAAATGATAATATTTTGTTTTTAAAATGTTGATTTTTGCAGGTTTTCCTTGTCACCAATGCTGATAAATATAAACATTTTGAGAGATGGGCAACTGCCAGCGAGGAACAGATTTTTAATTTGATTCAACTTTTAATTACTGATTTACAGTTTAGACCAAGGTTAAAAAGTATTCATTCTTTGAACTATAGAACGTTGGAATTTTTCAGCACTTTGGCAAAAAAATACTTAAATTTCACAATATATTATCATGACTCTAGTTTTAAAGGTCTCTTGTATTATGAAAATTATTACCAACCAATCAATTCCTTTCACCAAAAAGTGATTTTTTCAATTTTTTTCATCATGGAATTTTTTTTTTGAAAATCTCTTATATTTCAGTTTCCTGTTGAAAATATTAGTAAGTATTTAAATATTTTTATTAATTTTGTAAAAACTTTATTCAAAGGGGATGTTTTCTTTTCGAAACTTGAAGACTAAGTATGATAAAAGTTAAAGGAACAATGTTGTTTGAAAGATAAAGGAATTAAATCTTTGTCACAAAGTCACATTTCTAAACCCTAAATCTTTGCAACCTAATGGTACGCATATTAATATTTCTAACAAAATTCATATCCGCGAGGTCTACGACATTGTGTTGTTAATATGTAAAGATTGTAAAATAGAGATTGTGGCAAACACTCAATTTCTTTTTTGAATCTTGGAGAATCTAAAATGACGCTTCATTAAAGTAGTTTCATTTAAATAACAGAAGTCAACACATTAAAATTATCAAATTTTAAAAAATATTTATTTTTTGGTAATTTAATATTTTTTTACGTATTGAACAATCTTAATAATATTTTATATAAACTTAGTACTTGCTTAAAATAGAAGAATAGTTTATTAAATTTTTATTTGAATGGAATTTCCAGAAGTGAGTTTTATAAAGATTTTTTTCTTTGATGTAAGAATTCTAATTCTTACAAAGCCAATAGAAAATTTAAATCATTGGTGCTAGCTTTGTAAAAAAGATTATTTTTTTCCAAGAAGTTTTCAATGACTTCTAGAATTTCCAGTTCTTTTAAAGGATTGTTACAGGTATTTGAGTAATGATTTAGGTACAAATAATTATATAAAAGGTTCTAAATTCAATGTTCTTCCTTTTTGGGGAGTTCAGTCATTTCTCTTTAGTCGTTTTGACGTTTATTGGATACAAACAGAGAAACAAACAGACAGGAAACAAAGTGAATATATGTAGAAACTGATTGCTGTTATTTTGCAATACAAATTTTGCTCTTACATTGTTTATATTTTCAAGCTAAATTACATTTCTTTTTGCAATCAACTATTTCTAATTTTAGCTTTTTCTTAATGCAGTAATGTACCCAGGTCCTCTACGGTTATTGTTATTACAATTAAAATTATTATTTTTTAAAACAATATTAAAAATTGTACAAATATAATCTAGAGTCTGTGAGTACGAACTCTAGTTAAAACGCAGGGATAACTATTTCCAGTATGTATATTTACTCTATGGTAACAGGGTTAAGATTCAATGTTTACATATCACATAAAAATGCTGAAAGTGAAATGCATGGTATCGTTTATAGCTGCCTTGGTGTACAGATGTGGAACTCTCTTATAGAGGCCGGCTATCGTCTTTCATAATCTAATATTTCATAACTAATTTTATTATAAGTCTAATACTGTATGGTTAAATCGTTAAATGCTATTATTTATCAATTACTGCAGTTAAATAGTTAAATGCTGTAATTCATCTATTGCTACAGTTGAATCGTTAGATCCTGTTAATTATCCATTATACTGCAGAAAAATCGTTAAATCCTGTTATATATCAAATACTTGCAGTCAAATGAATATATGCTGTTATTTATAAATTGCTACAGTTAAATCGTTAAATGCTATTATTTATCAATTACTACAGTTAAATCGTTAAATGCTATTATTTATCAATTACTACAGTTAAATCGTTAAATGCTATTATTTATCTATTACTGCAGTAAACGATGGAACAACTAGTAGAGAAGAAAGGTTGGGAGCAGTTATGGATCTAGAACTTTGTCTCAGGTTAAACTTGAACTTGTAAACAATAATAAAAGTTTAAGATCTAATTATTTATTCTTGTAAAACGTTATGGTTGCACATATACTGTTTAATAATTTTACTTTAGTAACAAGTTACATCTTATATTTTTAACTATTGTTTTATACAGATTCCGATTATACTGTATTTTCATAATTTTTAAGCATTAAGGGAGGGGTGTAACTTTTTGAAAAAATAATTATATCTTATATTAGGACCACTAGCAACTTTATGTTATGTATTTAAATATCAAAACTTAAGATTGATGAAGGATTTGTTATTCCGTATTCTCTGTGCTGTGTAGGATGAAGTATCTATGAACGTATATACTCTATGTTGTGTAGAATGAAAAATATATGAATTTTTATACTCTGTGTTGTGTAGGATGAAGAATCCATGAATATATAAACTCTGTGTTGTGTAGGATGAAGAATCCATGAATATATAAACTCTGTGTTGTGTAGGATGAAGAATCCATGAATATATAATCTCTGTGTTGTGTAGAATGAAGAATCTATGAATATATAAACTCTGTGTTGTGTAAAATAAAAAATCCATGAATATGTATACTCTGTGTTGTGTAAAATGTAGAATCCATGAATACATAAACTCTGTGTTGTGTAAAATGTAGAATCCATGAATACATAAACTCTGTGTTGTGTAGAATATAGAATCCATGAATATATATACTCTGTGTTTTGTAGGATGAAGAATCCATGAATATATAAACTCTGTGTTGTGTAGAATGAAGAATCTATAAATATATAAACTCTGTGTTGTGTAGGATGAAGAATCCATGAATAAATAAACTCTGTGTTGTGTAAAATGAAGAATCTATAAATATATAAACTCTGAGTTCTGTAGAATGAAGAATTCATGCATAAATAAACTCTATATTGCTAGAATTAAGTATCTATGAATAAATAAACTCTATGTTGTGCAAAATACAGAATCTATGAATGTATATACTCTGTGTTGTGTAGAATGAAGAATCCATGAATATATAAACTCTGAGAATGAATAGTCTATGAATTTAATGAACATAGTAAAAAGCTCCATATTTGTAAACCTGAACATACTTGTATGTAACTACGTTGTAACTACGTTCATTAGTTTAACTACGATTTACTTTAACTACATTCATTAATAAATAAAAAATATATATACTCTGTGTTGTGAAGAATGAGGTATCTATAAATATATATACTCTGTGTTGTGAAGAATGAAGTATCTATAAAAATATATACTCTGTATTATGAAGAATGAGGTATCTATAAATATATATACTCTGTATTGTGAAGAATGAGGTATCTATAAATATATATACTCTGTATTATGAAGAATGAGGTATCTATAAATATATATACTCTGTATTATGAAGAATGAGGTATATATAAATACATATACTCTGTGTTGTGTAGAAATATATACTCTGTGTTGTGTAGAATGAAGTATCTATAAATATATATACTCTGTGTTGTGTAGAATGAAGTATCTATAAAAATATGTACTCTGTGTAGAATGAAGAGTATAGGAGAGGATGTACTAGTGGTTGCTGCTGATATGATATGCCAAGATGAAAAGTTTGATATTGCTCAGCTGATAATAATAATAATATTAATATTTATAATATCTGAAAATAATGATTACAGAAATAGTAATAAAAACCGTGAAAGGTGATTTCCCGGTAAATAGATTTAACACATTTTTTTCCTGACTAATAGTTCAATTATGAACCTTTCACTTTTTATTTTTATTTTTACGGTTTATAAAGAAATCAGGATTCAATAAAATTAATTAAAACTCGATTTTTAGAATTTTCCTTTATACAGTATGTTTGTGAAACGGTAACTATTTGGGACGCGTGTAACATTTCTAAATAATTAAAAGTTTTAGTTTGTTTCTTCTAATCATTTTTCCTTGTTTTTTATCGGATATTTTAAAAGAAATGCAGTCTTCGTAACAAACTCAAATTTTCTAACCCCTGTATCTTTGCAACATGATGTTGTTAACTTTTGATATTTTCAAACATCGATTATTTGATCAAACAAAATTCAAGTTTAAATATCCAAGGTCTTCGACCTGTATTTGCAAATATTTAGGGATTAGAAAATAAGAGTTTGAGGAAAAGACTCAATTCCTTTACAAAAATAAGAACAAAATCGGAATTGGGCCCACATGAAAAAACCATCTCTTATTTTGTTTAAAGGAAAATGCTAACTTTTTTCTTGTTTTAAAACATGCTTTTATACCCAAATTTAACGTTCTTTTCTTAAAAGAGAAAAATTAATTAAAATAATTATTCAACAAACACTACAAAACCGAATAAAGGATTTTTTAAAATGTACAGTATATGCCCTAATATAACAAAAATTATTTTACATTTAAAATATGAAGATGCTCTTTTAAAAAAGAATGAAATACACTATCACGCAGATTAAATTAATTTTTTTAAATTACTAAAATTTTAAGGATTTACTTGATTATAAGATAAGAACTTAATTTTATTCAAATTGTTTTGTGAATAGGTTAAAATCCTTAAAGCTTTTGTCTATTAAAACTTGATATCAAATTATCAAATTATAATTTTATAATCTGCTATTTTTTCTGCAGGAGCAAAGAGCGAGGAGATTTAGCAATATATTACGAGATGTTAGCCTCAGGTTTTACAAATTATGTTAAAAGGGAGTTTACATGAATGTTGATGGGGGGGGGGGGATTTTTTCGAATCTTCAACATTTTTCCACAGGGGAAAATGGTAAAAAATCTAGATTTTCTCAACTAAAAAATTCCAAATTATCACTCGTTCTTCTATGTAGAATGTTGCATCACATAATATATATGTGTTGTTTTTCACCATGGTTATCAGGGCACACTGAAACTGTAGAATAGACTGAGGGTTCATTTCGTCAACTTTATCTTGGTTCGTTTTAATTGCTAAGACTTAAAAGGTTTTGGATTTTATCACAAAAAAATGATCCATTTAAAAAATAATTTTAAAAAGGTTGCAACACTTTACCAGTTTGCTTTTGTTAAACTTTGCAAAAATAGTTATCATAATTATATAAAAGATATTAAGAAAAACTAACCAAAAACTCTTTTTAGATTTAAATAATTTATTAGTTTAAGGGGAGTGTTTGCGAAAAATGAAAGGGGGTATAGGCTTACCGCGCTTTTGATCGCTACTTATAAAGTTGATATTTCATAATATTTTTTTTATTTTTTATGATCTGATAGTTACTTTTAAAAACATCAATTCCTGTTTCGAGGATTTTTGATAATGAAGACGACATTTTCATATTTTCCTGGAATGTTCGAAATTCCAGCGCCAGTGAAATATTATTTTCAAAAAACAAAATTAAAAATTTTATGAAATATTAATCGATGACTATTGTTTGTAATATCTGAATGATTTGTTTGGAATTAAATTGATTATTTTACGATCCGAGTTGAATGTTGCAACTTTCTGAATTTGTATGGACGCTACGTTCTTCAGCATGAGTCGTTTTTCACAATTTTCTCCTTATATACGCAACAGATAGAAGTAGGATTAGTAGCGATCAAAAGGGCTTAGTTTTTGCCGTAAGCCTATACCCCCTTTCATTTAAAAAAATTTTAAATTTTGTAATTTACATATTATCTAAACATAAATTTGAATGGCGTGCAAGCTGAAAACTTTAGAATGGTGGATATCGAGATCAATGCTTGATCTCCTGGTTTTACTAAACCCAAGACTTGGTTAATACGCTTTCGATATCAGCGTGTCGTGTTTAATACGCTTATTAACTTTTGAAAAACCGGCTTTTAATTTTTGCGCATTTCTGGTGTTGATGGTGTCATATCATTTGAACTAATGATCGATTGAACGAACGTAATTTTTGGATTAATGTTTATTAAAACTTACGTTCAAAATTACTATAGTTTATAAATGTGATAAAATTTCACTAAATTTTCAATAAGTTCATATTAACATGATTAAATTTATATTTGTTCAAATGCTCCAAAAGCCGGCTTGTGAACAGTTCAACCGGTATAGTCCAATCGATATAGCATCGTATCCGTAATTGTTATCAAACATAAATTTTATGCAGTAGGGGTATCAAATAGAGAGGATTAGGAAACAAATCAAAAGTGTGTACATTGGATACTTATATTAAGCGATCCAGATTAAGAATATCCCATTCTAAAGTTTTCAACTCAGAGCTGGGAACTTTAGAATGAGATCCTTGTAACCTCGACTACTTAATCCGAATATCCAACGTGGACACTTTTAAAATCTTGCTTAATCCACTCTTTTTTGGATATAGTACAGAAAAATCAAAAACCGGGTTTTCAAAATTAGATGGAGACCTTCCCGTTTCTGTATAGGAATTTAAATGGCGCGCAAAATTTCAAATTTCCCGGCTTTTGAAACACGACTCTGATTGGTTGAATTCTATACACTTTTCAAAGGATACAAGTACAAGATTAGGTTAGTCTCGAGATTAGGAAAAAGAGAGGATCAAGCATTGATTTCGATATACACCATTCTAAAGTTCTAAGCTCAGTACACATACCCTTAGAAGAGATATTAATTCAAATAGTTTAAATTTTAAAAAAATGAATCCATCCCTGGTTTCAGAATCCCCTAGTTCCAGAGGCATTAACCCCCCCACAAAAAAATGATTCATATTTGTTTAGTTTTTTGAGAAGCCAACAGGTGAGGAAACCCAATCTCGAAATGGCAGTGTGGTTTTCTACTGTTTCCGTCAATCAACTCTTGAGCTTGTTTCAAGGTTAAGCATGTATTCCCCTTTTTGATGACTTTTACTTTAACAGCTGAGTTTAATAGGGTTTAAAAATCTTTTAAGGACTTTAGACGTAGGCTTGTCCGATTTACAACGGTATCCTTAAACATAATTTTCAATCTTACAATCTTAAAAGTGTTTAATTTCTTTGTCTCTGTTTCCTAAATTCAAAAGTTCGCCGATTACAATTGAAAATAATAAACTTTTAGAAAAAAATGGATATTTTTTCATTTCTGATCAGACAAAGGTTTAAAAGGCCCCATTTTTAAACATGAACCTTTATAAATGGTGAACAAATGTAATGTATTATAATTATCATTTTGCAATTATCCATAAAAAAGATTTATTTCGAGATTAATTCGAATTAGTAATTCCCTCTAAAACTGTTTTGTTGTAGATATTTAGGAGAATATAAACTAAAGGAAGAACGAAGCTTTGGATTGTTCCTTCAATGGTTGATAAATGAGCAGGACGGAGAAGTTTACGGGATGAAACTTCCAACCGGTGAGAGAACTCTTCCATCTTGGTTCTTAGTTTTCATTTATTTCTATTGTCCTTCATTCTTGATTCTTGGCTTTCTTTTTGTTTTTTATCCCCCTTCTTGTTTTTCTTATGCCTCTTCTTGTTTTTCTTATCCCTCTTCTTGTTTTCTTATCCCTCTTCTTGTTTTTCTTATCCCTCTTCTTGTTTTTCTTATCCCTCTTCTTGTTTTCTTATCCTTCTTCTTGTTTTCTTATCCCTCTTCTTGTTTTTCTTATCCCTCTTCTTGTTTTCTTATCCCTCTTCTTGTTTTTCTTATCCCTCTTCTTGTTTTTCTATCCCTCTTCTTGTTTTTCTTATCCCTCTTCTTGTTTTCTTATCCCTCTTCTTGTTTTTCTTATCCTTCTTCTTGTTTTTCTTATCCCTCTTCTTGTTTTTCTTATCCCTCTTCTTGTTTTTCTATCCCTCTTCTTGTTTTCTTATCCCTCTTATTGTTTTTCTATCCCTCTTCTTGTTTTCTTATCCCTCTTCTTGTTTTTCTATCCCTCTTCTTGTTTTCTTATCCCTCTTCTTGTTTTTCTTATCCTTCTTCTTGTTTTTCTATCCCTCTTCTTGTTTTTCTTATCCTTCTTCTTGGGTATTCTTTTATTCTTGTTACTATTTTTGATTAACATATTTATTTCTGTTAAAGATCAAATTTTTAACTCATTCTTGTGTAATTCTAAATCATTGAATTTTATACTTTGAGTATTTCGTTTGTCTTCTTTATCATTTTACATCTTTCTAATTTAACTGATTATTCTCGTATCTTCTTTTTCATTCTTGGTTAGTTTCGTATTTTCACGTTTGTTCTTGGTTGTTTTTCTTGCCTTTTTCTTTCTTCATTGTATCTTCACATTTATTCTTGATTAATACTATATCTTCTTCCTTATTGTGTCATTTTCATAATTCTTGGTGTTTCTTGTATCTTCTCCTTTGTTCTTGCTGATTCGTATAATTAAGTGTATAGAATATAGTTTTGAATCAATAAGAAAAAGTCAGATAAAATTTACATTATTTTAACCTTCTATGTTTGTTTTAGGTTTCCAGTTAATAGGGGAAACTACTCTTTCTGAATACGAGAAATGGTTATCCTTCTTTTCCCAGCAGTGTTCTTCCTTCAGGTTTAGTTTAAATCTTTCTTTTCCCAGCAGTGTTCTTAACCTTCAGGTTTAGTTTATATCCTTCTTTTCCCAGCAGTGTTCTTCCTTCAGGTTTAGTTTATATCCTTCTTTGTTCTTCCCTCAGGTTTAGTTTATATCCTTCTCCCAGCAACGTGTTCTTCCTTCAGGTTTAGTTTATATCCTTCTTTTCCCAGCAGTGTTCTTCCTTCAGGTTTAGTTTATATCCTTCTTCTCCCAGCAGTGTTCTTCCTTCAGGTTTAGTTTATATCCTTCTCCCAGCAGTGTTATTCCTTCAGGTTTAGTTTATATCATTCTCCCAGCAGTGTTCTTTCTTCAGGTTTAGTTTATATCCTTTTCCCAGCAGTGCTATTCCTTCAAGTTTATTTTATACCTTCTCCCAGCAGTGTTCTTTCTTCAGGTTTAGTTTATATCCTTCTTCTCCCAGCATTGTTCTTCCTTCAGGTTTAGTTTATATCCTTCTTTTCCCAGCAGTGTTCTTCCTTCAGGTTTAATTTATATCCTTCTCCCATCAGTGTTATTCCTTCAGGTTTAGTTTATATCATTCTCCCAGCAGTGTTCTTTCTTCAGGTTTAGCTTATATCCTTTTCCCAGCAGTGTTATTCCTTCAGGTTTAGTTTATATCCTTCTCCCAGCAGTGTTATTCCTTCAGGTTTAGTTTATATCATTCTCCCAGCAGTATTCTTTCTTCAGGTTTAGTTTATATCCTTCTTTTCCCAGCAGTCTTCCTTCAGGTTTAGTTTATATCCATCTTTTCCCAGCAGTGTTATTCCTTCAGGTTTAGTTTATATCCTTCTTTTCCCAGCAGTGTTCTTTCTTCGGGTTTAGTTTATATCCTTCTTTTCCCAGCAGTGTTCTTCCTTCAGATTTAGTTCATATCCTTTTCCTAGAAGTGTTCTTCCCTCAGGTTTAGTTTATATCCTTCTCCCAGCAACGTGTTCTTCCTTCAGGTTCAGTTTATATCCTACCTCTCCTAGCAGTGTTCTTCCTTCAGGTTTAGTTTATATCCTTCTTTTCCCAACACTGTTCATCCTTCAGGTTTAGTTCATATCCTTCTCCCAGCACTGTTCTTCCTTCAGGTTTAGTTTATATCCTTCTCCCAGCAGTGTTATTCCTTCAGGTTTAATTTATATCCTTTTCCCAGCAGTGTTCTTCTTTCAGGTTTAGTTTATATCCTTCTTTTCCCAGCAGTGTTCTTTCTTCAGGTTTAGTTTATATCCTTCTTTTCCCAGCAGTGTTTTTCCTTCAGGTTTAGTTTATATCCTTCTCCCAGCAGTGTTCTTTCTTCAGATTTAGTTTATATCCTTCTCCCAGCACTGTTCTTCCTTCAGGTTTAGTTTATATCCTTCTTTTCCCAGCAGATTCTTCCTTCAGGTTTAGTTTATATCCTTCTCACAGCAGTGTTCTTCCTTTAGGTTTAGTTTATAGCCTTCTCCCAGCAGTGTTCTTCCTTCAGGTTTAGTTTATATCCTTCTTTTCCCAGCCGTGTTCTTCCCTCAGGTTTAGTTTATATCCTTCTTTTCCCAGCAGTGTTCTTCCTTCAATTTTAGTTTATATCCTTCTTATCCCAGCAGTATTCTTCCCTCAGGGTTAGTTTATATCCTTCTCCCAGCAGAGTTATTCCTTCAGGGTTAGTTTATATCCTACTTCTCCTAGCACTGCTCTTCCTTCAGAAGATAGTCATGCAAAAAATGTCAAACAAAAAAAGAAAGAAATTTTATTTTCACAGAAAGATAAATTCAAAAACATTGTCAAAAGCGCAGGTTTTACTAAATCAAATTTCGTCGAAAAATATTTTCAAAATTAAACGAAAATTTAGAGCTACTTTTCAATACCTATTTCAATGGAAATTTTTAATTTGATTTAATGAACTTCTTCCAGGGGCCTGCACCGTATAACAAAGGGATGTTCAGATTCAATAAGATTTTTCCAGAATTGAATAAATTAAAATATTCTTTTTGTATTAAAAAAAAATAATTGAAATTTACTCTCCCATCTTCTGTGATGTAAACTAAAATTAGATCTGAAAACACTCAAGGTTTTCTAATTTTAATCTGTTAACTTTAGATTTTGAGGAATTTTGAAATAATGGTCTTAAGAAGATTCGCAACAAAGGAAGTGTGTTTTTGCCACAAACTGAAATGTTTTAATCCCTTATCTTTGTAACCTGATAATTTAAACCTTTTAAACCTTTCATTTAAAACTAATTTTTTGAGCTAACATAATTCTTTCTTTGAAATATCAGATGGGTTACACATTTAGTTTGTGGCAAAATCTTAGAAAATTCCAAAAATTCCTATGACGGAATTTTTGGGGGAGTTTGTTAACGGAATTCGGTAGAATGCAATTTTTTATTTCGGGAATTGTCACGTTGTGTTTCCTTCTTCTTATACTCTGGATACTGGAACTATCTTGCTCTTGACTGAAAATCGGATCAGCGCGCGTATGCCCGGGTTGGTTTAATGGGAAACCCATCTGATGGATTCTATGGGAAGACGATCTCTCTGTCAATAAAGAACTTTTGGGCGGAGGTAGGAAAATAAAGAATTTTTCAAATTTTAAAGATTTATTGAAATCGAAGTATGGAAGGATGAAGGAGGAAGTATTGAGACATATAGTTTTTGTGCCAGGGATATGTATGCTCCCCACTAAAAAATTAAGCGACAGAAAAATCGTAAAATTTTACATTCCAAAATTTGAAAATAATTCATGATGCTCCGATTAATCGCATGTCTTCACAAAGGAAGATAATACTTGAATTTAGGTATTTTTAAGTGAAAAAGATTGCATATCCAAACCTTTAAAGTTGAAAACTGTAAAAAAAACACTTATGTATCTACTACTCTCTTCTAACGGGGGAGCATGAAAAAAATCTGCGCTCTCCACTTCTTTATAAATACTCTCCCCTAAATAACTCCTGTGTGTGCTCCCATGAAAACAAGTCCTTTGTGTTCTCCCATGTAAACAACTCCTGTGTGTTCTCCCATGTAATCATCTCCTGTGTGTGCTCCCATGTAAACAACTCCTGTGTGTTCTCCCATGTAAACAACTCCTGTGTGTTGTTCTCCCATGTAAACAACTCCTGTGTGTTCTCCCATGTAAACAGCGCCTGTGTGTTCTCCCATGTAAACAACTCCTGTGTGTTCTCCCATGTAAACAAGGGTGTTTCAGAAAAAAATTCTTTTTCATTCTTTAATTTTTGTCAAAAAGGTTTAAACCTTAAGTGACCCTCCATGCAAAGATGGCAATGTCCGATTTACAACTGTACCCTTAAAAGCTTTAAGAAATTACACTTAAAGAATGAGAGGTTGATCCTACAACCCAATCCTCTCAACGATCCTAGAGTCCATATGCATAGGGTTGTATATGTGAGAGTGAGAGGTTGATTCTACAACCGAATCCTCTCAACGATCCTACGGAGTCTGTATATAGGTTTGGATATGTGAGAGTGAGAGGTTGATCCTACAACCCAATCCTCTCAACGATCCTACGGAGTCCATAGGTATAGGTTTGTATATGTGAGAGTGAGAGGTTGATTCTACAACTGAATCCTCTCAACGATCCTACGGAGTCTGTATATAGGTTTGGATATGTGAGAGTGAGAGGTTGATCCTACAACCAATCCTCTCAACGATCCTACGGAGTCCATAGGTATAGGTTTGTATATGTGAGAGTGAGAGGTTGATTCTACAACCGAATCCTTTCAACGATCCTACGGAGTCTGCATATATAGGTTTGGATATGTGAAAGTGAGAGGTTGATCCTACAGAGTCTGTATATATAGGTTTGGATATGTGAGAGTGAGAGGTTGATCCTACAGAGGCTGTATATATAGGTTTGGATATGTGAAAGTGAGAGGTTGATCCTACAGAGTCTGTATATATAGGTTTGGATATGTGAAAGTGAGAGGTTGATCCTACAGAGTCTGTATATATAGCTTTGGATATGTGAGAGTGAGAGGTTGATCCTACAGAGTCTGTATATATAGGTTTGGATATGTGAGAGTGAGAGGTTGATCCTACAGAGTGTTTTATATAGGTTTGGATATGTGAGAGTGAAAGGTTAATCCTACAGCCCCATCCACTCAACGATCCTACAGAGTTCGGTAGTCTTGCGGATCTGCACGGTATTACCAGTAAGGTATTAACAGAATTACATTGATTTGTAGAATTTAATGATCGTTTTTGGATCCCAACCCTCGGCATAAGACAGCATTCTATGCAATGTGGATTTCCCGTTACAATTTGCATTCTCATAACACTTTTTTATTTTACATTTAGAGATTTTCAAAAAGTAGTTTAATCGTAATAGTTTGACAGAAACTAAAGATATTAAACTCCTCCTCCTCCCCCTTTAGGTATTTTTAAGT